GGCCCAGCCTGGAGGTCCGGGAGCCCAAGCATCCTATCCTGGAGCACCTGGGGCCCAACCTGGAGGTCCGGGAGCCCAAGCACCCTATCCTGGAGGTCCTGGGGCCCAGCCTGGAGATCCAGGAGCCCAAGCACCCTATCCTGGAGCACCTGCAGCCCAGCCTGGAGGTCCAGGAGCCCAAGCACCCTATCCTGGAGCACCTGGGGCCCAACCTGCAGGTCCAGGAGCCCAACCACCCTATCCTGGCATACCTGGGGCCCAGCCTGGGGGTCCAGGGACACCTGGGGTGCAGCCCGGAGGTCCTGAAACTCAAGCACCCTATCCTGGAGCACCATGGGCTCAGTTTGGAGGTCTTGCAGGTCCTACAGTCCAACCTGGAGGTCCTGGAGCCCAGGCCCCCTATCCTGGGGCACCTGGAGCCCAGGCTGCATATCCTGAGGCAGCTGGAGCGCAAGCTCCATATCCTGAGGTTTCAGAGGCTCAACCTGGGGCTCAACCACCCTATCCTGGGGCAACCAGGGACCAAGTTCCATATCCTGGTGTTCCAGGGGACCAGACTGGGACTCCTGGAGCCCAGCCTGGTATTACTGGAGCCCAACCTGGAGTTTCTGAAGGGCAATCCCCATATCCTGGGGCACCTGGGGCCCAAGTTCCCAGTGTTCCAGGGATCCAACCTGGGGCTCCTGGAGCCCAGCCTGCTGTTCCTGGGGCTGAGCCTGGAATTCCTGGAGCCCAATCCCCCTATCCTGGAGTACCTGGCCTCTATCCTGGGGCCCCTGGAGCTCAAGCTCCATATCCTGGTGCTCCTGGGACTGAGGCAGAGTATCCTGGTGCCCCTGGGGTTCAGCCATTCTATCCTGGAGCTTTAACTGGGACACAACCCGGATATCCTGGTGCCCCTGGATTCTATCCTGGAGCCCTAACTGGATATCCAGGCCAGCTTGGAGGGCCCGGGCTCTTTCCACCTGGATATCAACCTCCTGCCTTACCTGCTGCTCCATCAGGCCAGTTGATTGCGCCACCTGTTCTCGGTGTTGGAGCTACACCCCCATCATCTCCCCTCTACCCCACCACCACTCCTATGGGGTATTCTGAGATTTCCTCCTCTTCTACCCATTTGGCTCCAAGTCGCTACGCGGAGACGCTGGATGCCCTGCGCTCTCTATCCCAACTGAATGACCTCTACCAAACTCTCAGAGACCAGATCGCCATGCTGGACTACTACAAGTGTGGCCATTCTGATCTCCGCAGGCTACAGGACTTCCTCACCGATGCACGTAAGGACTGCATGTGCATGTCATCCCCTCACCCCATGTTATAATATAATTCTTTCCTCGAAGCTTATCTGATACCTCGAGAACGCATGTGAAGAAGAGGGAGGCATCAATAAAACGAGTGCAGTAATAATGAACCTTTTGGGCTTCGCATGTCAAAAATTCAGAAAATGCCTAATTTGACTCTGTTGGCATGTCATTCCGTCCTCCCCCCACCCCAAACTAAAAAAAAAAAAAAATTATCTTCCCCTGCCCTGTCTAGCAATCCCAAACTGCGGCATTCAGTGGTAGTGCTGAGGCTGGCCCTGAAATAGAGGCCATTGCCATTGCCATTCAAAATGGCCTTTGATTGCCCCCGCAACATGGCATTTCCTGGGAACTGCCATGCCCTGTTTACCTTACCTGATCTCTTTCTGTTGACAGGCCCCTGCAGCCTATGTCAGGCTGCTCCAAATTGCACAAGGCCCTCATTCTTGAACTGACATCGGACAATGCTCTTCCATGGCCTTCACACAATTTTGGAGTGCTCTGGAGGCTGCGCAAGAGCATAGGGAACTACTGGAGGGTCTGGAGGCTGTACAAGAGCACTTCCCATTCTCACCTGGCTGCCAAAAATCACACAAGAATGGGGTGTGTTTTGAGAACAGGTTTTGGATGTTGGTGAACACTGGTATGTCCTCAAAAGTGTCATGGCATGTCACCCTTGACACACATGTCACCATCACTGACCTAGAGATTGCTGAAGTATTTTTGAAAAGCAAAATTGTCTTCAACATCATCACCATTCCATATATTTTGTGGGAGCAGAGGTGGGTAAGGTCAGCATCTTTTAATCATGAGAGGCCAGGATCCTTCTGAAGGGGTGAATCTCATAGTATTGATAAAAAGGGAAAGGAGCCCAAGAAACAGCTCATCCACACATCCTGCTTCTTGTGGGAATACTGCACTAACATTTTCTCTCAGATGGGGCCTCGCTGCATAGCCTTTGTCCCATTGCCATCCGACCGCTGAAGTAATCTAAAGTCACTACCAGCCTTATTCCCATTCTGAAAGATGGGAGGAAAGTATATTTCTATGGCTATCTAGATGAGCTATACGATTTAACCTGTTCTCAAATCATGAAGAATGCTACTACTTTGAAACAGAGGTGGGGAAGGGAACAGAACTTTGAAAAGATGGGGAATGGGACCGTGGGCCTGGCTGATTATACATTATTTTGTTACAAGATCTACCTGAACCATATTCATAGCTTTTTTCCTCCGTATTTCTTGATAGTTTATAAGACCTTTGCTACCATCCCACCTAATCTGTCAGAAAAACTTGACGCTATGCGTTCCTTGGAAGAAGACTTCAAATCTGAAAAAGAGGTGGTAAGTGGAGAAGGAACATCAGGTTGTGAGAATGGCTACTTTCAGATTTTCCAAGGAGATGGTGCTTTAGAAGGCTATCTAGAACATGGGCTGCAGCTGAATGATTCATTGTTTAAAGTGCTTTATTGAATACAGATAGTCCTCGACTTACAACAGTATATTTAATGATCATTCAAAATTACAGTGGCACTGAAAAAAGTGACATGACCATTTTTCACAGTTACAACCTTTTGTAGCATCCCCATGATCATGTGATCAAAATTCAAATGCTTGGCAACTGGTTCATATTTATGACCATTGCTGCATCCCAAGGTCATGTGATCACCATCTTTTGACAAGTAGAGTCAATGGAGAAGCCAGATTCATTTAACAACTGAGTTACTAACTTACCAACTGCAGTGATTCATGTAACAGCTGTGGTAAGAAAGGTTGTTAAATGGGACAAAACTCACTCAACAAATGTCTCACTTAATAGAAATGTTGGGCTCAATTGTGGTCATAAATTGAGGACTACCTGTAATTGATTCCTAATGCATTGAATTCGATTTTAAAACTAATGGAACAATATTGTTACAATATTTTTTCTATCCTAAATATATTATGAAGCTCCCTGTAGTTATTTTGGGCTTTATTATCCAGTCTTGAACTGTGATCCCTTTCAATGGAAGGTGAGATGTTTTTATGCTTAAGCGTTTGGTTTTGAGACCAAGCACAGACAGCATTTGGTGAATATGTCAAATCAAATCCTAATTACTACTTGAAGACATTGCAGTGATCACCAGTTCAGACTTTGGGTCTCTAAAAATATGGGATGGGTTTATGACACAGTTACAGCATGTCAGAGAAAGCTACTAGTTTTTGGAGGCAGGGATTTTGTGAAAGACATCCCACTCCCTCTGTAGTCCCTCTGTGCCTTGTGATGTGATGTCATTCTAGGCAGCCAGATGCTGCTTTTGATTACTGCTGCTTCTTTTAAAAATGAGCCTTTTTTGGTTATTAGCATCTTTCAAGTTTGTAATGCTCAAGCAGCATTTCAGTCAGGGCAGATTAGCCAGAAATATTGGCCTAGTAGAAATGGCATGTTAGTAACTACGTGCTTTTCATAAGACCTTATACTGAGCAAGATCATAAATTCACCTAGTTTAATATTGTCTGCTCCACTTGGCAGCAACTCTCAGTTTCCCCAGCTCTGCCTGGAGATGCCGAAAACTGAAATTGGAATCTCCTGCATAGGTCATCTAGCAACAGATCTGATTTTTGCCTTCCTTTTCTGGCTTCTGCTGTTGCCCTTGGGCAACAAGAGTAAAACTGTGAGGACAGACGGTAGCTGGTCTTGCCTTGCCCAATTTTCCACTTTCTTTGCTTTCCCATTGGGCATTGCAGGTTACAGGCTGTATAAAGATTCAATTTTATTCCTAATGACAACTGTTGAGAATATTCACTCTAAAACCTGATTGATTTGTTTTGGAGAGCTGAATTAATTCATCTTTGCTTTTAACTGCTCTGATTTTGTTAGCATTCCAAGATAGCCCAGATAAGAAGCATGGCTATAATTATTAGTTCTGCCTTAATTGTAAGGTTATATTAATACAATTTTGCACACCTGAAAGTAACTCTCCCTTTCTTCACTTTATTCTCTCCAAAACTAAGGAGGTCCCTTCTGAAATGCTTTCACCACCCCTCCTTTTCTCAATCTCAAATTTTGTTTACCAGGCCATTGTTTAAACCAGGGGTGTCAAACTTGCGGCCTGCAGGCCAGATGCGTCATGCACTGGCCACCCCCATCCCCAGTTTAGCAAAGGGGGGGGGAGTCACAATACGTCACATGATGACAACATGAGGCTGTGAGTTTGACACCCCTGGTTTAAGCCATTGCTCTTCCCCTGTCTCCCAAGGTCATTCTCACTTACCATTACAGATTTATTAGATATCACAGCAAGGCTGGCATTTTTCAGTACTCCACTGCAGATAATCCATTCTCCCTTTAGCAAGAGATTTTGCCTGATTCCACTTCCTAAGCTTAAATAAATAAATAAGCTGGTCATAATCTTTCTTACAGAGATTCAGCATCCTGTTCCCACACCAGGGAAAGGAATCCTAGCACTTTATTTTCTTTTTGTGTAAAGTGAAAGCAAGCAGATTTTTGTGACTGATAATACTTCAAGGGGTGAGAATGAACACTGGTGGGATTATGAAATGGGATTATGTATGGTCGGTCAGTCATCTCAAGGAAAAGAGAAAGGACACTGACTCTTGTATAGGTAGATGATTGCAGATTGGTTCCAGATTTTCCAAGCTGCAAAAAACTGCTTTTATGGAAGTGTTGTATCTTCAGCCTAGCAGAATTGGAAGCATGTGATTCTAATTTGTAGTTAAGCATTTTGCATTTATTTGAACTATTGGGCATAGGTCACCATCATCTTTTACTCATTGGATATCCTCCCATATGGCTAGGAATAAATTCCCTTGCTGGCTAGCAGTTCTAAGAATTGTAATCCAACATATCTACAGGTTGTCAAGCTGAAGGTTATAGAACAGTTTCAGTCTGTGGAGCTGTGCAGTGCATTGGTTCTGATTTATAGAAGTATTTTGGAATGCTCTGGAACATGAACACAGTCAGAAATTTATTAAAGCAGCTATGTGACTCTTCCACGTTCATGATGCTGCTACAGAAAAATTTCACTCACAGTCTAGCAATCCTGCACAACTCCTTAAATAAATAATAGACAGATGCTGGGATCTGAAAGCATCTATTTTAGATCAAATCTAAAGCTTTGCCCAACCTCAGGTATTTATAATATTTTATTTATTTCTACATAGGCAAACTGAATCTGTGAGGGTTCTGATCCATTTATCTGCCTCAAAACCCTCTTCCCTGCAATAAAGAAAGCTGTGGTGCCCCTTTTCTCTCCCACATGATGTTTTATTCTATACAGGAGTTTTGTAATTCCAGTTGTTTGTGGCAAATCTGACTTCTAAAAATTACTTTTCCTTCCAATTGTGATTCTAGTTAAGGAGGATTCAGAATGCAATTGAAGGAGAATTGCCAGGAGAAGAGATAGAGAAAATGGAGGGAGCTAATCAGATCACCTTCCAAATAGGTTATCTCAGGTAAAAAACTAGAAAGCAATAGATATTGCTGATGGGCCAAGCATGTTTGTTTCATTGATGCTCTTAAGATCTTGCTAAATATAGCAACGGCAGACAATCTATCATATGCATATTGTGCTTGCTATTGGAAGAAAAGTAAAAGAGATATTTATTCTGAAAAACTGTGTAAGAAAATATTAAAAGGTTACAAAAGTACATGGCAGATCTCAACCTAATTATCATTTCGAAGGAAGTAAATGGCTTTTTAAATTAAAGTGCACAAAGCTGTTTCAAACTTAATTTGATGCTTGGGGCAGAGATGCTTTGAATTAGTCTTGATGCTTGGTACTGCCTGGACAAGTCTCTGAAGTTTTCTTGGCAAGATTTCAGAAGTGCTTGCCATTGCCTCCTTGCTCGGGCTAAGAGAGAGTGACCGGCTCTGTGCCTCAGGCAGGACAAGAACTAAGAGTATCCTGGTTTCTAACCTGTACCATCTGGCTTTCTCAATTACAAAATATTCTGATGTCATATTTCTTTATTCATTTTTGGGGGAAATGTCATTGTTTTTCCTATGGCTTTTCTGACAGATACAAACAGATAAGCCCTGTCTAGCAGAGATTTCAATTCCATTCACTAGAAAACATATAGTGATGTTTTTTTTAAAAAAAAATCTATAATTTTTCCTTAGAAAGGTATGGTCTCCCTTTCAGTTGCTTTTTCAAAACAGCCAAAATAAAACCCTTGGTTAATACCTCATGATGCTGGTTACACGAGTGCCCACAGGGTCAAAATAATCAAAATGGGGATCAGTCAATTGATTCTCTACCAAGAGTTTTGGTTGTGTAGGCACATTTTTTGACACATTCTCTGCAGATGCCTTGCAGGGAAGTGATGCATAAGTAATGTTTTTGAAATGTAATTTTTATCAAAATCGATTGATGGTACCAAAGCAGCATTTTAAACATTTCCATGCTACCCTTCAATATAAGAATTCAGTGTTACTCACATATTTGAAAATAGACCAAATATAGCAAGTTAGTTACAAAACTGTTAATATACCTTGCAGAGTGTGAACATGGATTTTAATCTGTTACTGGTCTGTGCTTTTGTTGTAATACAAATAGGCTTTCTGATTAAAGTGTTGTGCTAGAAAATAGGAGATCAGGAGTTCTAGTCCTGGCTTAGGCATGGAAACCAAATGGATATTAAGGAAAAATAGTAGAAGGGAACATTTATTTCTACAAAATAAGAGTGGTACATTGATCTAATAAATAAATAAATAACCATGGCCTACTGAGTAAGCTTTAGTTGGTTTGGTTGATAGCATGTTAAAACACAAACAAGGACAGTGATCTGTTTTGATGTGTGAAGCCAACTATTGCAACTGAGCTCTTTCTCATTTAAAGGCACATTTTATAAGGGCTTCCACCTGAAAAAAAAAAAGAAAGAAAGAAAGTTGTCTGTTAGAGAGGGGGGAATTGGAGCCAGGTCTGGAATTTAGCTGAGATCAGCAAGGGAGTTTTTCTTCCAGTCACGGCAAGGAGCTGATTTCCTTGGTTAGTACTCTTTCTGAATTGAAGTCCTAAACCTAGATTATGAAATTTATGGATGTTGCTCACTTCCATTTTCAGAACAACATTTAACTGAGCAAAAAAGTGCCGTGTTATTATGCAATTTTGACTTCATTGGGTGGCATATATCAGGTAAATGCAAAAATGCTTTTATTAAAAATCATGCATTTTATCAAGAAGTTTCAGCATAAAGATCTGGTTACACAATATCTGTTATCACAGGTAGTTATGACATGAGCAATAACTCCCTCTCCCTTGGCCCCCAAATGGGAAGAACTGTGGTGGTCAGCTCGTACTATGTGGCTCTTGTGGCCAGGTGCTTATTACAGTAGTGGGATGTTTTGCTATGGGGAATTGATTCCTGTGATATAGTTGTAGAAGCAAAAGATTAAAAAAAATCAAGAAGGGTTTCTGACTCAAAGCCTGTGGAGTTACTATTTAATCCAGTTTCTAACCTGCAGGTGATTTGCCCGGCTCATTTGCCCTCACAGTTTTATAGAAAGAATTTTGTATTTCCAGGTGGACATTGCTAAACCCTTAAGGACACCTCCATCCTATTTGCAGGGAACTTCAAGAGAAGGGGATAAACAAGCCAAATTTGCTGATCTACCCTTGTTTCAGGATTACATTTGGAAACCGTGTATTAGTTTCTATAGCGGACAAAGCACACACATGTATGACATCTACTCCAATTTTTTTTGTTTTATTTGCTGAGTGACACTTCTTTTTTATTGGTTTTGTGGTGCAGAGCAATGGTACATGATATAGAGAAAGAGCTAAAGGAGCTGAGACAGAAACAAGATGTGGGGAAAGCCAAGTTGGAGCAGTCGATGACCGACAATGCCTATTACCTCCAGGAGCAGGTTAGCAAATGTCTTTAGCTAATCTAAACAACAAAAACAACAGAGAACCCAAGTAACGGGGAAAACATGGTGTGTGTGTATGTGTGTGTGTGTGTGTGTGTGTGTGTGTGTAAGATTGCTGTGTCCTCTCTAGAATTTATATTTATTCCTAAGCATTGTGGACAAATCCTTTGTTAATAAAAATGTGTTGAATTGGTTGATGACTTTTCTAGCTAGTGACCAGAATGTTGAACTTGCAAGATAATAAATGAGTCAGGAGTGTGGACAAAAGTCACAATGTTGTCCACACATTCACAGTGAGAAGCTTTTGAAATATAAGCAGGAGGTGAAGTAAACAAAACAAAAAAGCAGGCTTGAGAGCCAATCCAAGTTTTAAAAACCAAGGCTTTACCAAGTTTGATGGTTCATCTCTTGCTTTACTTTTATGTAGGCACCATGGTCAGTTTTCAGAGTTACTGGCTTCTTGAATACCTAACTTAGTAATTGACTTGTATGCACTGCCTGGCCATACCCAGAGATTTAAATCAAGTTCTGTTTGGGAAGTTAAATGTCTGAAATGTGTAGGAGTAACTACACAGTTTGAAAAAAACATTACAGTGCTGTGGTCTTATCTCCCCTTATTCCTGGCCATCAACAGCCCCTGGAATTTTTCCTAATTTGATGGGGTTTGCAGAGATGGTTTTCCAATGGAAAATGAATGGATGGCACAAATTCAAGCAATTCTAAATAAGACCTGAATGAAGCAAAGCTGCCTCTATTTCAGGAACAATGATTTTCAGCTCAGTATTCATCTTGCAAGTAACAATTAACTAATAGTAACAAGATATAGGAATAAATGATACTTTCCTGGTGATTCACTTTTTTCAGCTCGTCTTCAACGTGTCCAAGATCTCATTACATGATGGGTAGCTTCTAACTTTCTTTATTGAGAGATGTGACTAAGAATCAGCTTCTAGAATCTGGTGCCCTCCATGAGTTTGTAATTTGTACTATCAGGAGGTTGAAAATGACAACTGATGGAAATAGGCAAATTGTGGGAAGGCTCAGCAAAGGGGGAATTTTATTTTTATAATAATTTAAAGAAATTGTCACAGCTTTCCCTCCTTTAATCTCTGGGCTGGCATCTAACTTTACAGGATTCAAGAATAAAAGTTTTCATATGGGTCCTTGCCTCTTTTTCTGCTTCAAAAAGAAACATCTGGCTAGAGTATTGTGGTTGTTCCTGCCCAACTAGTCTGCCCTTTGTTGCCTTGCAGAGCCTTTATTTCTTGATTTAGAGCCATACCCATGGAGTTATTCCTTAAACGAGCTTTTGATCTGCAGCTATTAGCAGGAGGATAATCTTTAGCTCCTAGCTGATTAAATGTTTAAGCCAGTGATTCTCAATCTTTTCTTCACCACGGGCTCTCTTTAAATACCTTTTGCAGCCACGGACCACTAGACACAACATTTCTTCAAGCCTTTGTTGACACCCTGTGAGAACATTTCAGCCCCCCAGGGGTCCACAGAGAACCTATGGTGTAGCCTATGACTCCTATTAACCTTGTCCTCAAGGGAAGTGAACATTGTTATCCAGCCTATCTGGAGAGTGCCAAGTTGAGGCTATCCTTTAGATATTCCGTTCAATCTGTTGGGGAACTCCCATTTCCCCCCCACTAATATAATGGAAAAATTGCTTACTTTATAATACCATAATACATCTTTCATCATTTGGTGTCATCATGGCTGGCTGCAAATGCCTATGGGAAAAGACCTATTAAAGAGAGTAAAACCTTGCTCCACTGGAAGGTCCTTCTAGCTGCCCTCAAAACTCTTTTTGCTCAGGTTCCACATTGTTGCAGTGGAAGGGGGTGGATTTTCAGCAGCAGCAGACCTTTTCTTCCCTGCACTAAATCCTAAATCACTCCCCAAAGCTCTTTCTATTATTCCCTGTTACTCCCATGGACAAAATATTTGTGGGACACTCTCATTAACATCAGTGGAAGCTGCCTTTTGGAGTTGGGATTTAGTTTCAGGGAAGTTCTAGAAATTTTTAAAATGATTCACCATTATTGTAATGCACTTGAATTCTACCATTACAAGGTTATTTTAGCTTTATATATATATTTTAGATATATCTTAGCTTTGCCTTAATGGATCAGATGCATATATGGTATCCTCCAATCTGGTGTCCTGGAACTAACAATGTTGGAACTCCCTCCGCCTTCCCACCCACCCCCATGAAAAATCTCCTATTGTGCATGTCCCGAGTCTGTGGACTCTGGCCATTACAGACCCAACCAAAATAAAGTCACCAAGCCAAGGAATACTGATTCAGCCCAACAAATTTAAACAGCTTGTTCCTGTCACCACTATATGTTAGAGATGAAAACCAGGATTTCCTTTTCAAGAAACCAAACTCCTGCTTTTCTCACTTGCTCACAGTTAGACAAGCTTAGATCTGTCATAGAAAACATGATGTCCTCCTCGTCAACCTTGCTGTCCATGAGTATGCCACCCATCCCAGAGTCTGGTGCAGCTCAAGTCCAAAGCACGTGTGCAGCCTGCAGCTTAGATGTCAGTGAGAAGGTTAGCCAGTTGTTCAAGCGGTACGAGCAGCTGCAGGACTCAGTCAACAACTTCATGTTGAGGCAGGCAGAAAGCAAAACGAAGAAACCCAAGCAACGCCAGGTAAGGCCAGAAAGAAGATGGCTCACACTCCTCTTCTTTTCAGTTTTCAACTGGATAGCTTTGTAAACTGCCCACTCAGGTGAGATGGGTGGTGTGGAAATTTAATAAATTAAAGCTAAGGACATGGTAGTCCTCTGCAAGATGGACAAGAATGGAGATGCTTTGGAACACAGTTTGGATAGGGAGGCCTAATCTGTTGGAACTTTGTAAAGGTGTGGATAATCTGTCTAGCTCAGTATTGCCTGGTGTTTTCTAAGAGTGCCAGATATAGGTATTTGCCAGCTGTTCCCAGAGAAGCCAGGAACTGAATCTGGGAGCTTTTGTACGCAGAACATAGTCTCTCCCTCTGAGCTTTATCAGAACCTTTTACCCTGATGATAATGGCTGCATGCTTGCTAGTGGGGAGGGAACTGTTTTGCAGATTCATATTCCTTTAAGATCACGTTATTTACTGACTTGGTCCATACATCATGCTAAGCTAACTTTTTAAAACAATGATTTCTTAATAAATCTCAGCCATGGCAGTATTAGCGAGGCTTTCTAAGTACTTTCTCCCTTTGAGGTTTTTTCAAGCAGTCACAAGTTCAACATGTTGCATGTTTTTTGTGTGTGGGGAAATGGAAGGACATAAACATACTTCGTACTTCATGATAACAGCACAACAAGTGCAATATTGTTGATACAGAAATTACCTTGGTAGTTTTGGAAAGAGGAACTATAAATATCATACTCTGCCTAATGATTGTTTCAGGAGGTTTTAATATTTTGCCCACTGAAACTAGCAAGTTCCCAACTTCCAAAAATTGCTTTTTAAGAATCATTTCTAGGGTTCAAGTATATTGTTGCATTCCTGATTAAACTGAATACTTTTACACAATTTCAAGTTTTTAAAATAAGAATCCAAACTTTGCTTCATGCAGCCCCGTGTCCTTGGCAGCTTTATCTTAAACCTTATGCTACGTCATGAAGTTCAATAAGATTGTTGATATTCAGAATTGCAGCCTATCTCCTATAACACTCCATTAGTAAGCCTGTTATGCTTTGCTTTGCTCTTGTTCCATTGATTTGTCTGCTATTTTATCTTTAATTTAAAATAGCTGAAGAAATTATGGCACAAAGTTCAACCTTATGCAAGATTTCTGGTTTTGTTCTAAAAGAATATCAATCTTTTAGAACTGTATGCAGACAAGTCTGTTCAAATGGCCAATTTCCAAGGTCCTAGGGGTTTTGTTTTGTTTGATTTTTTTGGTGAACTTTTATTTTACTCTCTTATTCTTAGATACTCTTCCAAGGGTGCCTTGAAGGTTGAATGCAGGGACCCCAGTCTGACATAATACTTTTATGTGCTTCTTGAACTTGGATGTTGGCAGAGCATTTTTCCCAGTTTCAGACTGATGTGATTTTTAGGTTGCCACATATAAATCTAAGCCTAAAAGTTGTGAGAATAAGTAGTACCCAAAGAGCATGTCAGTGTCCTAGATATGAATCTATCTTCCATTACTATGTCAAGAATATTCCCATTTTGTTTCTTCCAACATTTTAATGGGAAGTCAGAATATATATAACAGCGATTATCATGAGTACAAGTAAGCCAGGGCCCAGGTTGTAGACAATGCTTGTCCCTGTTATATAATAAAGATCCATTTATATTATTCCACATATATCTTGAGTTTATTTTATTATATTCAAATAAAATATATCCTGATTTTTGAAGCAAACTTTCTTTGCAGGTTTCCCTATTTGTCATGAAGAGATGGATCAAACTTTCATTATTTACTCCAAGTTGCCCAAAGGCAACAGTTTGAACTCTGAAAAATAGAACAGGGGGGTTAATAAGACTCACTTTTTTCTTGTTAACTTTGGTATTCATGCTTTTTTCCCAATCAGGATGAAGAGGTGCTCAACCAAATCCAGAGTACTATCCTGCAAGTCCAAGAAGATTGTGAGAAGCTGAATGCCACTACTGGCAATCTTGTTGAAGATCATCACCAGAAACAGAAAGAGATCAGTGTACGTAATTTTGAGTCAAAGTTAGCAGGTGGGATCAGAAAAATGACAAGAAGTTCTTGGAAACTGTTTGGAGTGTAGTGGATATCAGTTCTACTTTTGATCAGGATTGTTGTCCTTGCTGAAGATTGTATAACAAGGCTTAAAGAAGCTATTAACCAGAATAGCCCAGAAAAAAGGAATAGTAGATAACCCGTGGCCCATAGGGTCATTGTTTTAGAGATATTTCCTTACCTAAACAGAGAAACAGAATATAGGTAATCCTTGACTTTTGACCACAAAATTTCTTTTGCTTGGTGAAACATTGGTTAAGTGAGTTTTGCCTCATTTTCTAACCTTTCTTGCCATAGTTGTTCAGTGAATCACTGTAGTTGTTAGTAACACGAATTGTTAAGTGAATCTGGCTTTCCCATTGACTTTGCTTATCAGAACGTCACAAAAAGTGATCACATGATTCTGGGATACTGCAATTGTCGTAAATATCAGCCAGTTGCCAAGCATCTGACTTTTAATCAAATAAGCATGGGGATGTTGTAATGGTCGCAAGTGTGAAAAATGGTTGTAAGTCACTTTTTTCAGTGCCATCATAACTTCAAACAGTCACTAAATGAACTTTTGTAAGTCAATGACTACCTGTAACCACAAGCAGTTAACTTTCCTTGTAGGGAGTTGGCAAGTAACGTTGGAAAGGATGATCACATGACCACAGTTGACCGTGGATGCATGATAGCATAGCAGTGTGTGTGCACTGAAGTCACTACCAGTTTGCCAAATTTCAGTCCCGTGGGAATCATGGGTTCTGGATTTTGGATGCATTTTTTAATTAAACCCATTTCAAATACAATGATTAAAAAACTGTTGCCTTATGGCAATTTTGCCCAAATAAAGTTTATAAACAATCAGACATAAGAATTTTTGTTGTATAGTACACAACCTGTGACCTATTGGGTCATCCTTTCAGAAACATTTCCTATCAGATTCTTCAGTGTCTTTAACAACAGAACTAATGTAGTGCCTTTACTAGAAAAGTTGGGATACATTAAAAGATGTACCTGCCTTGAAAATAACCCATGTTGAACTATATAACACTGTCAAACATCAGCAAAGGAAATGTCCTGTGAAATTTTGTAGTATGTCATACACTGTTTTATGATAATTTTAATGTCAGGAAATGTTTTATAAGAATTTGCCAAAGTTCAATTCCATGGGAATCATGAGTCACAGATTTAACTTATTCTGTAAATTAAACCATTTGAGGTATCTTGGTTCAAAAATTGTTGCCCTACGATGCGCTATTTCACCCAGTTAATGATCATGGGATGAGAGTTTTAATAGTGTATAGTTAGATGTAAATATTAAGGCATGAAATTCTTGTCTCTTTGTAGCTTTGTTTTTGTTGCAGAAAAATAAGATTCTTATATACATGTGGCTAGTATTTAAGGGCATATAGTATACCTAAGTTCAGTATAAGCAGTATAAGTAAGCAAGGATATAAACTAAAATCAAAAGACAACAATTATTAAAACATCTAATCCCAAGGCTACTACAATTGAAATCAGTATTGAATATTGAGCCACTGAAAGAAAATAAGCATTTTAAATCTAAGGAAACTGAAAGCCAAACATAGTTTAAGGGGGAGTCAAATCCAAAGAGTAGGAGCTAGATGTGAGACAACTCCTCTGACCTGAGGAAAAACTAAGCACCCCTGATTGCACAATTCAACTAAGCACACAGAAGCAAGAATTGTTACCAAGTTCTTCAAATAAGTAGGTGTTCCTACACACACAGCCTGGAAAATCTGCACCAGCTGTTTAAACTTTTAATGCTTCTGAAGACCTAGCCAATGTAAATATTGGTGGAAGGATGAAGTAAAGGTGACTCCAGGGAGGTCCAGGACTACATGGGCTGTCTTATTCTGGACCTGAACCAAAGGACAGAGAGTAGATTTGGAAAGATCAGCCAAAAAGCTGTTGCAATTATTCAAATGAGACACCACCAAGGCATGTCGCAAATTAGGAAAAAAATTGATGGAATTCTGGATACTCATAAGGTGAAAGAGACCAGATTTTGTAATTGTACTGATGAAACATAGCTAAGAAGTCCAGATCTTATATACCATCAGAGACATCAGTACCTGGCAGTCTCAGAAAGTGAAAGGCAGAAGAAAGGATGATCAGGGTGAAAAAACAATAGGCTCAAATGTCCAAATTTAATTTAGGCTGCTGAGAACACATCCAGCTGGACATTTCAAGCACTTGGAGAGGCAAGACCACAATAGATTGTCCACCCCAAGACTGGGGTTGAGGAATACACCTGGATGTCATCAGCAGAGATAGGATAGCTAAACTGTAAAGAAGAAACAAAAACAAAGTATCAGAATTGAACAAAATTGGGCCAAGGACCACACTCTGAGGGGCACTCACTTTTAAAGGAAAGGATTGAAAACCCAAGACAGAAATAACAGAAAAATGTGATGGGAAATATAAGACTGTAAGTGCCCAATTGAGGTTCAGTGAAGTCGAAGTAGATATTAAACTTTTGTGGTGAAAAGTGTCAAATGCCACAAATAAAACTGTCAGAGAAATACTATTGTTGTGGGTTTGCCTTTGCTACCAGCAATTAGAGACAATCTATGTCAATGCCAACTTAAGGGACTGATCTGCTTAAGTCTATGATTGAAATGGTTCAATGGAATTATTTTTTGACTGAGAGGACAGAAGGACAGAGAGAATATCTTGTTTAATAACATTACACACAACATAACAGAAGATAGTTTTGATTTGAATCCATATAGGATTAGAGCTAGGGTTAAATTAATCATTCACTCTAGACTTGACTAGCAGCTTTTTTTTCTTTTTGATGGGATTAGATTAAACATGTCATATCCAGTAGGGGTCATGACCTGATGACACCAGAATCACATGAATGTTGTTTAGTTCAGTGATATCACTGGCTAAACAGAGCCTTTTTAAAATTAGTGTACACTATAACTACTAATAGAATAGGAAAGATATAAACTGTTGGGCATCCTGAAACCATTTTGGCTACATCTTGAGTACCTGGAGAAAAGCCGGACCTGCTTACTATTTGAATAGGGAACCACTAAGAGGATTTTAAAATTATGTTATGGATCTGCCCCTGGATCCCTCTCCAGACACAAGTTCAGAGGAAGAGGGTGAGTTTGAGTCAGCAGAGGCAAGCACAGAGCCAAGTAGTGGTCAGGATTGGGGCTCGGGGAGTGCTAGCCTAATGGAGCAGCTTCAGCTGGGTCAATCGGATAAGCCACAGGGTAAGGCTGAGCAAGACGAGCCACAGTTGTAGCAAGATGGCCAGGCAGCTCCAGGCAAGGATTGGGAGCAGTTGCCACCACTAGCAATGAGGAGGAAGTGGAGTCCCCACCTCCTCCTGATCCAAGGACATGTAGAGCGGAGAGGAGATAGGCACAACACTGGTCAGCAAGACTAGTCATGAGAAGGCAACCTTACCTATTATGAAGGGCTGCACTGGTGTTGCCTACTTAATCCTGTCCCGAGGACTTAAGTGTTCTTGCAGCAATGTGCCTATTTATGTGCCTTGTGTTCTCATACCGTATATCCTGACTCATTCGACTCGTGGACTGCTTTCCTGAACTTCTTGTGTGCCCATTGGACTTGGTTACTCAGAGATTCTAGCCGTGCTGAACTCAAAATTTGGAGCTGTGCAACAGGAGTACATTCCGAGGACCTATTTGGGGGATGGGTGGAATAAACAGCTGTAGACTCTTGCTGTATGTGCATGGGAGAGGGGAATGGGGCAGCACAAACTAGGAGACAAGACTAGGAAGTTGAAAAAACATCCTGGAAGAAGAAAATGGCAAGCCCACTTCCATAAGCAACAGGGATGTCTCCCTTACATTAACCATAAGATGTTAATGTATCTCTTTTACGTGGTAGAATATAGGCAACATCTAGGCCTACAGAAATAGGGAAGATCTGCTTACAGATTATTTGTAAAGATACTGGTGATGATAAACTTAACAGGAACTGGAGTTTTTGTTTTGGTAACAATGTCATTTTGTTTTGCTTTGTGTTCTCTTAAAGGCACTGTACAAATCACTGGAGAAACTAGAAAATGAAAAAGTTGACAAAGATTGCCTAGAGACGGAAATCCATGTGGTAAGCCGTTTGATTTACTGACAAACAATGGATATAGAATCCTTGGGGAACCATGAATAGATACTCTTGAGAAAGTTTTATTTACAAAGGAGCCTGTGGGGCAGTCACGAACAGCAAGCTTACTCTCTGTTTTGAATGGCTATCCTGATAAATCCTTGAGTTACGATGGCAACTGGTATTTCCATTCCTAAGTGATGCAGATGTACAGTGCAGCGTTATGTGACTGCATCACTTAGTGATGGTAATCCCTGCTGTCCCAGTTGCTGCTGTTAAGCAAGGATTGTGAATCGTTAAGCAAGCATCTCCTCACAACTTTCTGCCGAAGTCAGTGAGGAAGCTGGCAGGAGGTTGCAAGTTTTAGGTGACTTTGCAAGCAGGTTGGCAGGCATGTAAATGGCTGCTACTGGGTTGGTTGGAAGGAAAGAAAGGAGTGGCCAGGGAAGTGCAGCAGAAGTGCAGTGGGCTTGGGGTGATTGCTGCTGGGTAGGAGACAGTTTGTGAGGATGCGTTAATGGGTGGTGTGGCATGAGCATGGCAGAATTTGGGATGGCTGTGGCTGGGTAGAGAGGATGCACAAAGGCATATGAATGGTGGGAAGGAGAAGCATGAGCGTAGCTGGGCTTGGAGTGGCTGCTGGGTGGGAGAGGGAATGAGGGGTGCACAGATGGCCAGAGAGGTGCAGCACAGATATAACAGGGCTGGAATGACTGCTGCTGGGTAGGAGAGGGTATACAAGGGTGTATGAATGGCTGGGAAGGTATGCGGGTGCAGCAAGGATCAGGAAAGGTATCCAAGTGAGGAAGATTTGCCCAAGCAATTCGTGACCTTCACTTTTGGCTTCCCCATTGCCTTTGCTCATGGGAAGCTGGCAGGGAAGGTCACAAATCATGTTGTAACTGTCGTAAGTGTGAGCTGATTACCAAGTACCCAGATTGCAATCCCCTGTTCATGGGGTTGCTGGGAGAGCCTAGTGGTAACCACTTCTCTTTCAGCGCTATCGTAACTTTGAATGGTTATTGAGTGAGCGGTTATTAGCTGAGGACTACTTGTATTTACCATCTTTTGAGATTGGGTCAGGTAGGAGTAGTGCTATTTTGGACTTTCATGTAATTTGTGGCTTTGGAGGGCAAAAGAGGGAGAGATCCTCAGATATCAGTGAGACCAAAGATCTATCTCTCCTTTCTTTTCATTTTCAGAAAGCAGATAAGACTGCCCTTGCGGCAAAGGTCAGTCGCACCCAGTTTGATGCCACCACAGAACAGCTACATAAGATGATGCAGGAACTGCTAAATAAGATGGTTGGGCAAGAGCAAGACTGGCAGAAAATGCTTGACAAACTCTTGATTGAAATGGACTCCAAGGTAAGCAAGATGTATCCTTCGTAGCCATTTGCAATCCCATCAGCAGGAGAACTACTTGTGCTAGTGGTCTGTATTGTGGTGTGCAGTGAGGCTGTAAAACACCTTACAGAAATGTTGGTCCTTTTCTCCTTGGCCAGGAGCATGTATAGATGGTAGAATACATCGCTTGTGTTTTCCCCTATAACCAGGTGAACATGAAGCACATTATGTCTGCATTCTGACTTCTAGCTTGTTTTTGGACACAGTGAAAATTCTGTTTTTGTTCTAAAGGACACTAACACTCACATCTCTTCCCCAAGCTGGTATTTCCCAGATGCACTGGGAATTAACAACTCTGGCTGGGAATTTGAGGATTTGGCTTCACTGCCACGAGAGATTGGGAAGTTGAAAGAGGTTGTCAACAAACTGAGATGAAAATTATGAGCCGTCTTGTTTCCTCCAATTATTCAGCTACCCCTGCCATATGAGCTATGACAAGAAAGGGGGGAAATAGATCCTTTTCTCCGGTGGCAAAGATGCCTCTGCAGGGAGATCTCAATGCTTTTATTGTGTAGGCAACAAATCAGGATTATTCTTTTCCTGTCTTTTGCTTCATTTACATTGTTATTTTTTATTCTTTCTTCAGCTCCTATTGCTGATCAAAAATAATAAGAAGAAAGTATTAATTTTATTACTGTTTATGAGGCTTCTTTGAAAATTTTTCTATCATAAACTACTTGGAGCATGGATAATAGAAAGGCAGGAACAGTAAAATAAAAATAATGGCTTTATAGGAACAATTCCCCTACTGTTTTCCATGCCTTGCATGGAATATTTTTGGAGCTAATTCTATCAGCCTTTCCCTCTACTTCTTGTAGGAGAAGGCTTTCTTGCAGAAAATACGATCCCAGCATAAACAAACAATATAAAGAAATGCAGAGCACAGGAGCAAAAATGTAATAAAATCACAATCTAAAAAAAGTAAAAGAATTAAGAACCCCCTGTGGTATGAACAAACTATATAGAAACAAATCAACCACATATTTATTGTTCATGTATTAATTAATTAAACTTATTGTACTGCCAACTACCAAAGTCCCTTGGTAGTTTATATGTAACATTGAAATTAAAATTCAAGAGAGTGGGAAAAGCTAGCAATAACAATTAAAAGCAATTTACAGGGTGTATTTAGGCTGTTTTTGAAAGGAAGCAAAGCTGTTAGGTCCCATAACCCAGCAGGGAATGTGTTCCAGAGAATGGAGGGGCTAGAGAGAAGACTTGACCTCAGCTACAGCAATTGAAGATGAACTTCCAAAATAATCTCTAGGAGTGGGTAGGACTGTGGAATCTTGTAGAGGTGTTTCCTCAGAGAGGCTGGAACTGAATCATATACCGGTTTAAAGATAATAAGATAATAATATCCCTTCACACTTCACCCAAAGGCAAATTGGTAGACAGTCCAATGTTTTTATCATAGGTATAATGTGGGTCTTCCCGACAGATTTGGCTGGTGAGTGCTGAACCAAGTGAAGTTTCTAGGATAGTTACAAAAGCAGCCACACACACAGTTCGTCACAGGGATCAAACTTGGATGTTAATATGTGTCATTTTAAGGGTGAATTTGGTGTATCAACCAAAATTGTTACATCATCCAAAGCTAATGAAAGGTGCTATTGATTATTGCCTCAGTCTAGAAAACTAAGGTGGTTCTACCACCTCTCTGAACCTGTAACTCTGGACCCAGTTTCAGTTTATTATTGTCCATTATCCAGCCATTATCAACTACAAGCATGGACACAAGGAAGTCTAAAGATGTTTCGGAAAAAGGGGACATTATCAGCATAGTTATAGCACCCAGCTCCAGATTTCCTGATTATCTCCCCTGGCAAATTCATATTGATAAGAGTACTGCAAGCAGAATGGAGTCCTGAGAGACACTTGTTTCAAGGAGCAACTGTTTCCAGGTGACATAATCTACCCAAGGAACTGTTGCAGAGGATTGCAATAATTCCTATTCACTTATCTCTAGTGATGTTTAATGCCAATCAAGGTGTCTTCTTTTGGACAGTGCTGTACTCTTTCCTTAAAATAAATGAGACCAGCTTCAGCCTGTGAAGCAGTGAAAGCATTACTTGAATATGGAGTGGGGAAAAATCATACCAATGATAAATCTCCACTTACGCAAGTCAGACTAAGAACCTAAACAAAGCCCAATGTCAACTAAAAAGATGCTCCTTTGGTATTTTTAGCTGCCAGAAAAAGGGAATGGGGAAAAACAGTGCATTTCTTAGGTGCCTAGATAATCACCCTGGCAGTCAAAAGTTGTCGGAGCGCAAGGATATCATCGGAGAGCATGATTGATGACTCTTTGGGATGGATGTGTCCCATTGGAGAATACACAGCCAGAGGGTGGGGAGAAGACCAGGGTCAAGGGGGAAATGAATGATGCATTTTAGTATCGGCTGCATTTGTTGGAGTCCTGTCACCCAACAGTTAACTTCTTCAGTTTTATATCCACAAGCCTCAAGGAAGAAATGTATAATAAATACCTGGTCCACTTCTAAGAAAGTTTCCCTGAAAAAGATCAGAAATCCACCACTGACACAGCAGAAAAGTAAGAAAATGAATGAGATCCAGATTTGATAAATTTAAAGGTCTGACATAACCGATGTTAAGGAATATAGCTTCCCACATACTGGTATGTGCACAGGAAAATAGCAGATGATAGCAGAACATTAGGTAAGGATTCTCCCAGTTCAGGAAAGCTTGTTAACTTGTTAGATAAATCCTTCCTGTAAAGTTTAGTCACAAAAGTTTAGTCTGACACCTTTATTTCTGTGTGCGGGCCCTAAATAGAAGCCCAAATAACTGTTTGTGGGCTAATATTACATGTCCTAATCATGCAAATGAACACACACATATCCATTATGCTATTGTGTTGGGAGTTAGGCAATGTTACTAAATGCAGGAAACGAGAAAAGTAAAAATAGACTACTTAAAGGCATTTTACACCAAGAGCATTCATTATATCTTTCTGTACTTTTCTATATTTGAGAAACATCTTTGCTTTTAGCTATTCATTCATTATCTTTTTTCCTTTTTAAATCGTGCATAAGTCTTTCAAGCATATAAAATATATATGGCAATGGCTGCCTGCTGATTTTTATGATAGGAAAAAAAATCCACGTTACATTGTTTTATCTGCCTGCTGACATGACACCAGCAGAGGGAATGTTCTTTAAAGAACCAAGCCTATAGAGAGAACAGCACCAGATTTGTATTGCCACACAATACGAAGAACAGGGTGCCAGCAGAACAGCAGATGTCCTCCTTTCTGTTTGCTGAATGTGTTTGAAGTCTTCCTGCTTTTGATTTTAACCCACTCCATAAGTGCTTCACCAGATGCCAGATTCTACAGCCCAGGAGCTAGCTTGTCCTCTATTAGGGAATAGTGATTGCCAAGACCTAATGCCTACATTAGCTCCCAGACCTCTTATATTTGCCTGTGGGCTTTTTGACATCACTGCTGTTTTCACTGCCTAGTCCCTTAAGAGAGATTTGAAGAAGATCTACAACCGTCTTCTGTTCCACAAGCTTGGCAATGTTGAAATAAAAATCAGTGTGTCTGCCTTAAGGTTCCAGTCTTGTGGTAACCTATCCTATGTGCAAAAAAGGAATGAAATACTTTGCTTTATTCCCTTTCCATGTTCTTCCTAACATGTGCAAAATATATCCTAGTGGTTTCAATGAGAATAAGTTAATGGTAATCAGTTCCATTGGTAAATTATGTTATCTGTGAAGAGTTATCTTCTGTCTACAAGTAGTCCTAGACTACAACGGTAATTGGAACTGGGACTGTTGTTAAGCAGTGCAGTTGTCATGTGACCATGTCACATAACCACAGCAGTTAACAGCAATTCTGGTTGCTCTTGTTAAACAAGGATTACATGGCTCATTAAGTGAGGATCTCATGTGTAATCCCAACTTCTGACTTTCTGCCAGTTTCCCAATTGGACTTTTCTTATGGGAAGCTGGCAGGAAATGCAATCATGTGACCTCAGCTTGCTGCAATATCTGGAATTCTAAGGAGTTTTGTAAGTCTCCCTTGTTCAGTGTCATTGTAACTTTGAATGATTGGATAAAAATTGGATTGTAACCTAAGGACTACCTCTATTTTCCATCAGCTTCTAATCAGTTTGATGGAATAACTTCTGGTCCCAATATTTTGTATGCATACACAAATGTAGGTAGTCCTTGACTTATGACCACAATTGAGCCTAAAATTTCTGTTTCTCACTGAGACAGCTGTTAAGTGAGTTTTGCCCCATTTTATGACTTTTCTTACCACAGTTGTTAAGTGAATCATTGCAGTTGTTAAGCTAGCAACACAGTTATTAAATGAATCTGGCTTCCCCATTGACTTGGCTTGTCAGAAGGCCACAAAAAGTGATGACATGACTCCAGGACATTGCAACCATCATAAATATGAGTCAGTTGCCAAGTATCAGAGTTTCACTTTCAGAATAAAGAAGTTATGCAAAGAGCAAAAAAAGAGTAAGATGAGGAGAAAAAGCTTTCCTTCTCCACTTTCTGTAGGCTGTGTTTGATTCTCTGTGTCTCAACCATGTTTCTTTATTGCTGTCCTTTTCCCAAAGCTGAGGAATTTCAGATATTCCAGCCTTCCAAGATGGAGATCGAGTCTCATTATAGTTTTATTCTTTTTCCAACTCAATTGCATATTTCTTCAAACCTTCTACTCTGTGCTTGAACTTTGCCCCTGCATTGGAAGTAAAACTCTTCCTGCACATATTCAACAAGTCTCCAGTGCTATTAACTCCTTAAAAGCAAAAATATTGTTGCCACATACGAGTTGATAGGTACCTATAGGTACATATTTCAGGAAAGAGAAATGGCCCACATTACTGTTTAGATTCTCCTGAAGTGAGGTTAATAGGTCCCTGTGAGTCTGTATTGCACATGATGTGACAGTTAATCCAGCTTTGGTCTCAGTGCCTTAAGCCCCAGAATCCCTGAATTTTTTTTCTGAATAGCTGGACCGCTTGGAACTGGATCCATTCAGGCAGCAGCTGGAGGATCGTTGGAAAGATATCCGGAAACAGTTGAAGCAAAGGGTTCCACAAGATGAAGGCGACGATGCTGCAGGGATCAGAAGGTAAGAGAGGCTAGAGAAAGACAGCTGTAGCATTAAGAAAGCCCAGTATAAGAATGGGCAGATGTTCAGTGGCAACAGCCGTCAGCCTTGACTTCCTATCCTACACTTGTGGTACAGTTAAAAATAAGAAGATAAAATGCATATGTGGGTCTTTGCATGCAGCCTGTAATCCCTGATACCACATACATTGAGCCAAAATGCACTTTACTTAAGGAGAATGTCAATGTGCTGAGTCATCACTTACATTTCCCTTCAGCATCTCCAAGTACCTGGCATATTTTGAGAAAATTAAAGGAAGCTCCCCATCTCCACCCCAGTCCGACAACAAAAATAGAGCTTTTGTAGAAAATGTAAATGTTTCCAAGACACTGCCATGAACATAACAGTTTTTATGCCTCCCTCCCTCCCTCCCTCCCTCCAAAGAATCACCAGTTTGGGGGAGCGGTGTTAGTGTTTGGAATTTGATGCCATTAGGAAACCTCAGGATTATAGGTAAGTTTTGGAAGTGGAAAAACCATCCTAGAATAAAATAGAGGCAACCATCTTCCATTCGGCGGTCAAGAAAAACTGCAGGGATATGTCCACATAATCAGGAATTGAGCTTTATTTGAAAAAGAATATATTTTTCTTTACTAACAAACATGACAGCCGGACACATGTTACCCTCAAACATGGAGCTACTGAACACTTATCTGAACTCTTACTTGCTTTCCCAGACCTTCACCTTGTCAATACAGGTAATCTTTGACTTATGACCATTCTTTTAAAAAACATTCAATGTTACAAAGATACTGAAAAAAGCAACTTATGATTGGTCCTTACACTTACTGACCGTTACAGTGTGTCTTCGGTCACATGATCAAAATTCAGATGCTTGGCAGCTGCTATATATTTATAAATTTATGATGATTGCAAGCATCCTGGGCTTATGTGATGGCCGTTTGCGATCATCTCAGTCAAGCAAAGACAATGAGGGAAGCCAGAGTTGCTTAATGACCACAGCAAAAAGGTTGTAAAATTGAGCAGGACTCATTTAACAACCGCATTGCTTTAGCAACCAAAGTTCTGGTCCTTATTGTGGTCATAAGTCGAGGATTACCAGCAGTCCTTTCCTTTAGAATGGCAAACTGCAGCCACTCCAGTGCACCACCAGAGGGCACTTGTACTTTGTGTGTTGACCCACTGGCTCGGCTTATTGACAAGGGAGAGAGGAGGGGGAAGCTGCTATGAATGTGATTATTTTAGCAGTACAGATCAGCAATTCCTGCTACATACCGTTAGATGATAAAATACACCAAGCACTCCTATGCAAAGTGTCCATTGTATAAAATGCAGCAGAATCTCTTTGTCTAGCTATCTTGGCACCCCAGGAGTTGTCCTGCCTGTCCTGGTGTCTTGCTTTAAAAATCCTTTAATTAAATTAGAGAGTGATTATATGTAAAGGCTTGAAGAAATAAGATGCAAACATGGCGGGAGGCGCTGGCTGCCAAGAAGCATGTTTTCCTTGGATTTGGGGGTGGGGGGTGTTTCTCTTGAGGATACTTTTTAGAGAAAAAAGCGGTTTGGCAAGTCTTCCGCTCAGATTTGTCTCACTCAGCATCGGGGACAATGCCAGTTCCTGATTCAGGGTCCCACATCCCAGCCCTGATATGTCATGAGGAATTAGATGAAGGTGTGTCATGTTTGGGATAGGAAGGTCACCATAGCGATCTTATTTCCTTGGAAGGAACCTGCAAGGTAGCAGTGCAGTGGATGCAGCGGCCTTCAACGAAACAGAGGGGAAAAAGGAAAGAAACACAAATGAGGCCAAATATATATGTGTCCCAGGATGTTGCAGCATCCGATCCTGGTCAGTCACTGGGATCAGAGGTTTTGTCTTCCAAGCTTTTGAACTCATGCTGGAGTCCATCCTCAGGGAACTTCTCTCTGTCATAAAAAAAGTTCCCTGAGGATGGGCTTCAACACGAGCCCGAAAGCTCGGAAGACAAAACCTGTGGTCCCGGTAACTGACCCAGATTGGATCCTGGAAAGAAAACAAACTAAGTGCAGCCAGTGCAGTGTGGAGGGAAAGACCACTCTTTGTTTTGTCAAAGCAAACTTTGAAAGTCCACAAGAACAGTTGCTTTCACATGAAGTTGTGAGAAGTCTATTATTAGACTTTGCCAGCCCTCCCAGAGGAATGATGGGAGCTGAAATCCAATCTGAGGGGCTGGACACCAGGAGGGTGAAGAGTGATGTAGTTTGACTATTTTGGAAATCTCTTTGCTCCCCAAACAGCAAGAATGAGCTCAGAGCTGGGTCTAGGATAGGCAACCTGTGGCCTCCCCGACGTTACTAAACTCCAACTCCCACATTCTTCCCAAGTGGCCATGCTAGGAGACCACTTGGGAGTTAGTCAGTAGCGTCTGGGCAGCTACAATTTCCTCAGATCTAGAGGAGATGATCAGTTTAACATGTGGTGCCCCTATCAATTTTAATATTTGGTAATGCCATGGATTGTTGGTACTAGGGTTTTTGGAGTGCATCAAACATTATGTAGAAAGTGAGGTGGAAGAAAGCTAGTGATCTTGTTCGCTGCCTTTGGGGCTGGAAGGAGAAAGCACCCCACACAGCTCTCCCATAAAGTTCTGTCTGGAGTTCTCCAAATTGGTGGGGGGGAAACCTTGTTTTGGAGAGGCAAATTCTCTCCCTCTCCCTCCCTTTTTCCTTTTCTAAGCACAAACAAATCATCATCATATTTCAGATCATCTTTCCATTCATGAAACCCTTTTGCAATTTCTCCTTAGTCAAATGTAATTGGATGGTGCTGTTTTATCTGCAACTCACTGGCTGTGGAGATAAGATAGTCCTCAACTTATTGCTTAGCAAATATTTGAAGTTACAACAGACACCCCCACCCCACCCCACCCCCACATTCCCCAAAAAGGAACTTATGACCTGATTTTGAAGCTCTGACATTGCTCTCTCCCTTGTGGTCACAGGAATCGTGTTTTGGGCACTTGGCATTCTGCCCATAGTTACAGTCATTTGCAGCGCCCCACAGTCACATGATCATGACTTATGACAATTTTTCCAGGAACCAGTGTTTACTTCCAGTTGTCAGCAAAAACCAAGCTTTAAGGAACAGTTGACAACTGCTGTATTTGCTTAACAACCACTGCCAGAAAGGTCATAAAAATGAGTCCACAGTTCACATGGCGACTCACTTTACAACCATCATGACTTATGAACATAATGACCAGACTCCATTAGAGTCATAAGTGAAGGACTACCTGTACAGTGGCCAAATTTTGCCATCCATTCAGGGACGTCTTTTATCCTCCCTCATAGTAACTGTATTTACCCCTGGTGTCCAGGCTGAGCCTTTGATACAGATGTCCTCCCTCTAAAGTCTTCCTGTGGTTCCCGGACACTTTTCAAAATTACTATTGCGTTTTTTAAGATGGCAAGGGGGGGAATTATTAAATGCGTGGAAAGTAATCTAATTAACTGAATGTAACTAATTGAATAAAATATAATATTAGTCAAATGTAGCTCTTGTTCCAGCCCTGGCTGTTTCTTTGTCTCTCCCTTTCCTCTTTGAATATGCTGTAATTTCTGATACTGCAGCAAATTCAGAGTTCGACACTCCCCAGGGGCATTTTTAACATATAGTTGGTGAGAATTTCCACTATGCATTCCTGAATTTCCATCAACAGAACTCTGAATCCTTGCCCAATGAATGTTTTATTTTACTTGGCTTCTTTAAAGTGGAACTGTTTATTGTGGAAATAAATACTCAATTTAATGGGTATGTTAAAAATGCCTCTGCATGATATAAACATGCTAGGTTGCATTTATCCCCTACTCTGTGGCCTTCTGGTTTAAAAAAAGAAGCATGCTCCTGTTGCCAAACATATATTTTACCTCCTACTCCAACCATTCCCCTGTCTGATTTGTTGTTTCTTTTTTGTTCTCAAACAGGAGACTCCTGGCTCACTTCCACTGCATTTCTTGTGACCGACCCTTAGAGATGGTGGTGCCTGGCCCGTAAGTCTTTGCTTTACACTTTCAAATCAGATCAGTAATTGATCTGCTTAGATGCAGGTATACAAACACCTCTACTAGGCTGTAGATTCAGCTAGTCAGCGAGTTGCTGCCTATGTCTATCTATCTCCTGAGAAGCTGGCCTTTCCTTCATTAAGAAAGTGCTGGTAAGGTGTTAGGCCAGGAGCAGCTGCCCTCTGCTCTTTCACTTATTCTGCATCCTCCTTTATTTATCTGGTCTCCGTATTATCTTGACAGGCGAATTACGACTCTCCCAGCTGTTCCAGGTTTACCTGCTCATCAATCCCTTCGACCGTATATGGTTTATGAAATGGAACAAATCAGGCAACTGAACCGCAAGTAAAATGCAGATAGGAGCTTCTGTGTTTTCTTCTCTTGCAGTTTCTTTATTTCTCTATTCAGGAAATGAGTGAGATAGAGATTTGCAGTAGGAAGCCATAGGGAGGAGTTGAATATATAAAGTGAAAAGTATCCATCTAGTCAAATGATGTTCTTCGGATGGAACCTTCATTACATACGTCAACTTGCAACCATAGTTGAGACCAAAACGTCTGTTGCTAAGTGATACAATAATTGAGTGAGTCATCACGTAGCCATACCCAATTTTAGGACTGATTGCTTAAAGGTAAAAGTTTCCACTATCCAGTCATATCTAACTCTAGGAGGTGGTGCTCACCTCTGTTTCTTAGCGAAGGGAGCCAGCATTGTCCGAAGACATTTTCTGTGGTCGTATGGCCAGCATGGCTATATGCCAAAAGTATACAGAACACTTTTACATCCCCATCAAAGTGATACTTATTTATCTGCTCATATTTGCATGCTTTTGAACAGCTAAGGTTAGCAGGAGCTGGGACAAAGAATGGGAGTTCATTCCATTCCACAATACTCAGGTTTCAAACCTGGGCTGTCAGCTCTCCAGCTGACAAATTTCACATCTTTAACCATTGAGCCATCTTGTCTCGTAGATTGCTAAAACAGTCATTAAGGAAATCTGGCTTCCTCCATTGACTTTGCATGTTGGAAACTGGCTAGGAAAGTTACAAATGTGTTCATGTGTTCCCAGTATACTATAACTATCCATAAATACAAGCCAGTTTCCAAGCACTCCAATTGCAATATCAGGATGCTGTGATGCCTGTAAGTGTGAGGACTGGTCATAAGTCACCCTTTTCAGCACCATTGTGACTTCAAGCAAAGAATTATTTGTGAAAAGAATAGTTACAATTCAAGGGCTACCTGTAGTGAAAATTAAAATATTTTCTGTTTCTGCTGTAAAACTTTAAATGGCAGTGGAGAAAATGGGAAGTGAACATCTTGTTTCAAAACATCTCTTCATTTCTTATATTTCTTATATCTGTAGAATTGCTTCCAAAAACTTATGGCTGGATCATATAGCATACATCTTAGTTGAATGAACCCATAGAAGAATATTATTTTACTTTAAAGTCTGTTCATAGTTGTGTGAAGCTAATTCACTCTTGCTGATTACAGAGTTCTACATTAATAAAAGGCAGAGAACTCCTAGCTGGAAATGACCTCTAGGACCCTGCCAATAGCCTCCCTTCATCTCTCTTCTTCATGCAATCTCTCTCCTTTCTCCTCTCTCTCTTGCGCGCTCTCTTCCTCCCTCCCCCCTCTCTCACACATACCTCATCCCTCTATCATCTATCTATCTATCTATCTATCTATCTATCTATCTATCTATCTATCTATCATCTTTTAATTTTGTTTTGATCAGTAGCTATGGAATTTTTAAAAAGCCCAGTGACATGTCTATGTCTCAGAGTGTCCCAGTGCCTTAGCCTGCTTGATTCCCCTTCCCTGAGAATTAGGGAATTAATCTTCCCATTGGTGCTAATTTATTTCTTGTGACTAGGGAGACAGGGCGAGGGGCCATGTGGTATGTGTGAGAATAGAAAGCGGGTATATGAATTGGGGAGGTATGTGGTTCCCCAGAAAGTTATCTATTGCAAATGCATTTTGCATCACTGAGTAGATTCTTTCAGTGCTGCCTGTTATATGAATGCTAGTAAAAGATGTTGGGTACATGTGCCTTGCTTAACAGCATGGTTCTTTCCCCATCCTCCTCCTTTGACTCTTTGCTCTGGCACTGGGCTGCATCCATTCCTCCTCTTCCTACCTCTTCCCTATTCTATATTGTAGCAATTTGAAATTGGGACCGGGTGTTCGTTTTGATGCCCTGGAGAAGAGTGCTAGTCTGAACAAGTTACGGCGCATCCATTCCAAGATGCTCATGGACATACAGAAGGTGCAGAGTCATTATGGCGGAGCTGCCAGGGTCAACGCTCAGATGATCAGGGAAGCCCTGCAGTCCCAGTATCTTGGCTCAAGCCCTTTTGGCAAACGGTAGGACTTATGGGATAAAGCAAACTGTTCACCTTGCCAGACAGAAATATAGAAAACAAAGCAGGGTTCTGATCAATCTGTCATCCTGGTGCTTCACTCAGGAAAACATAAGATCAGAGGAACACTGCTCTGCCTTTCCTTAGCACTATTATGGTAAACAATAGATTGAGCATTACTACTCATTTCTGCCTACTTATAGTCAGTCATGCCTCACTCCCACCCCAAATTTACCAGGAAAACAGAGAGGGAAGGAAATTATAAAAGCAGCACATTGGAAAGGGAATAATTTTTTTTAAAATTACAGGGAGAATGATGATGTTTCTCTCAACGAGCTCTGAATATCCCATTGAACACAGCATTTGTCCTATCAAATTAAGTGTTGACACCAGGTCTGGAAAAAAAATCAAATTATAGGCCAAGAACTGGACACAGTAAAAGACCACCGTCAATCTAGAACTAACCAATGCATTTAATCAGATTCACATGAGGTATTTTGCAATATATGGATACTTGTGACTCATTAAAGCAGCTATGTACTTTTCCAGTAGTTATCCAGTCTGGGGGAAAAACCATATATGCTTTAATGAATTGCCGGCAAGCAATACAGCATTCATGCATTCCAGAACATTTCTTCCGAATCTATTTAGAAGTATTGTGCAGCAGCACTCATCTGTCTTAATATATGAACTGCAATGCTGGCTAAAGAGTATCTGATAATTCAGGTCACATAAACTGATGGTGCCACCTTCTGCAATGCAAATATTTGCATTTTTAGAATGATTTAGAATAGGAGTCTCCAACCTTTCCAGCTCTGTGGACCAGCCGTGATGGTGGTGGGGAGAGAGGATGGTTTTGTGCATGCCACTTGCCCAAAGAGAGCTTTGCGCTTTCATCTGCCATTTGCGTGGCCTTGTTCCCAATGGTCCATGGCCTGGTACTGGGCCCCAGACTGGGGGTTGGGGACCCCTGATTTAGAAGGAGGGGCCAGTAGTTCCTTGGCTTTAGCTTAAAGCTGAATTGATTAACTATATCCAAGAAATAGTGACTTTTTACTCACACCTTGGAATCAGGATCCTATTTAAATTTGGTAACCGTGTAAAATTGTTTGAGTGAGGAAAGGTTTGCGAAAGGAAGCTGTAAGCAGTTACAATTCCTGCAAAGATTTATTTGTTGAGAAGATTCTCTACTCCCTTTTACATAGTGTATACTGAAAAACTGCTATATACAGCAAAGGAGCTTCTTCCATTAAGAAATTTATCTTGTATGTATATCATCTCTGTTTGTATATATGAAAGGAAGCCATATGTATGCTTAGTATCATGAAATTAGCAGGAAATATTTACATAATTTTTTTCCATGTAGGAATTTTGCCATACCCTAAAGCAATCTTTTCATGTCCTTCTTTTACATGTTTGTAGGTTTGTAATAAGACAATGAACCTTTTAGTGGTTGGACTTGCTGCTTGGGTAATCATTTGCAATCCTAAAACAGGCTCAGAACTTCACAGATTTGCTAAACAAGTCAGACTTGATTGTTATCATGTTACAATGTATTCAGTGATGTCTATAAAGTGGCTCCTATACATGCAAATCCAAATCTGAAAATAATGTCCAAACTAGCTTAGGCTTAAGTTTGGCTCAGACTAGACTTCTTGTCTATAGTGAGATGCAAGGATTTTGTAATCAAATTTCTTCTTATCCAATCTTGCAATTTAGCTTGCATTTCTGCTTTACCTTAATATTAGTTTAATCCAGCTACTGCTGCATGTCTTGTTTCCCTACTTGAAATTCTGCTTTCTGTCTAGAAAACTGCTTTCCAGAAGTGGCTTTGTGAAAATAACTTTATGTTTGTTCCATATGTTTTATGTGCTTTCCTGTCCTCCAAGGCAGAGGCAAGGAACATGATGCTCAAGCAGGCTACTGCTATGTACTCTACCAAGTGTTTCAGTGAATCTGTTCCCAGGATTTCTCTGGAGAAGCTTAATGTTTCCTGGTGTCTTTAGGAAAAGGGATAGGCCAAAAGAGAGTCCTATATGATCTGATTAGCAGGCAGTAAATGGGTAGATCGGACCAGGAGAGAAAGAGTGCAGAAGTAGAGACTGGGGCTGTGTCTCTGTTGAGAGAGCTGAGCTCTGAAACAGCTGACCTGTGACTTGAAGAAAGCAAATGGGGTCATCCATCCATCCATTTTTCCAGCAAAGGGCTCCACTGCAAAACCTCATAGACCTTATCATTAAAAATAGCTGCTATTTCACATCTTCTTATGTGAGGACAAAAATATCATGTTGTATTAACTGTCTCACAACAATCAGGCCATTTAAAAATATTATTTGGGTTTTATTGTCCATTTTTGCATTTTGGAAGATCTAGCAATGTTCTAGACACTGTGGCACTTCTGATGCCATAATGGGAGGATATGAGAAAGGTCATCTATGGAGATATTAGGACAGTTTTCTTGCTGTGAAGAATGAAAGTCTAAAAGTCTGATTCTCTAATCCCCATCCTTTTAACAGACTCTAAGTTGGGAGCCCCACAAAGACTTTACTTTTCACTTCTATAATGGGCAAATATGGGTTATGCTTTGTTGACAAGCATAGCAAAGCCTGCTCAAAAACAAAATAACCTAAGCTCTGTGTCTTGTTTCCTTTTTCTGCTGACTCAGTCTTATTTCTTAGGACCACAAAAGATAGTTTATTGTTTCATTACCACTACCTTTGTTAGGGTAGTTTCTCATGATCATATAGGATCAGTTTGAGACTTCTACATTTCCAAGCCTTGGATAGGACCTCTTATGACATCACTCATAAGACCAAATAGGCCCCAAGTCTTACACTAGACTAGACCTTCATGGCTGAGAGAATTGATCATATAATCTGTAGGAAAGGACCAGGCTGAGCCAGAGAAAGGGATCAAGCACGTCATCAGTCTCGAGTCCCTTTATGCTCACAAGAGATCTAAGTCCAGCCCAGTTTGAATTCTGTTGACTCCAATTTACCACCAATTCACTTTGGCTGTTAGTAGTTGAGATTTTTGCATAATGTTGGCATGCAATAAGCCTGTATTCATTTGAACCACCTTGACTCCTGATTTCCTGTCCTGATTTGACATAATCTTTAGGAGCTTTCTTGCCAGGGAGGCTTGCAGTACTCAAGGGCAGAGTGAACACAATTTCTGCCTCAGATTTGTGATACTGAAGAATCAAAGTAGCATGCTAACTTTTCAGGCTAGAGGGCAGATTTGGAATTTTCAAAGTTAACAAGGACATGCTTAAAATATGGCTGACAGCCGAGGTGAATTTAGAAAAGACTGCTTGAGCAAAGCTATTTTCCCAAATGCAATTCACCTAAACACAAAACGATGAGGTGGTTTCTGCCATTTCCTCACACACAGACACACATTCCCCCCCTCCCCCCATTTGTTTGATTTTGCCATCTCGTCTCATCTTTATGTCTTCTGGGCAGGTGGGCATACGGGCATACTTTCAGCATAGCAGTGGAATGCAATCACTCATCATTATGATTTCCTAAGAGTGGAGTCCAGAGTTTAGACCCTATGTAGAATGTCATAGTAAATGATGCTCAGACTAACTCTTAGCAATATGTCAGCTGAACTTCCTTCCTTTTCCTGTTGAAGGAGGACAGTTCTAATATCTTGTCCCATCTTTGGCATTTGGATTACAGACAACTTTGACTTTCTCTCAACAGAACACTCGAGCTATTTATCTTGCCCAGATAAACATCTTAATAATCAACATCTTAGAGGTCCTCCCTCCTCTAAGATGTTGATGATCGTTTTATCAACATTAGGAAAGAGTGATTACTATCTCATTGCGCATTAATACCATTTAAGGAAGCCATTTTGGATGCAGAAACCTCATATGATATCACCTGAAGCCAGTGCCATTTTTAAAAGCACTTTATTCCCTTTGGGGATATGAAAAATAGGAACGAGGATAGAAGACCTCTGAGAGATGCTATTCTTTTTTTATATATAACTAATCTACCCTACCCCTATTCCCCCAGAAAAGGTGCAAATTTTATCTGATAATGTTTGAATTTTAGCCACACAATGCTCAACTGTTACAGGGAACAAGGGAGGATTGAAAGGTGGAAATAGGAGCAGATTGCCACCCAGAGACACTCCCCCCTCTTTCACTCTAACCCTTGCTGTGAGCCTGTAAAATTGCTTTGTTGACAATCAGTCATTTTGCTATACTATGCTAAGATATAGTGGATGTCCACATGGTAGGATATAAGTATGCTGACCTTTTATACATTCTGGTTCACCAGATTAATCCAATTGCTTGGTTTACAGCACAATGAACCAAAAAATAAATAAATTAAATATTCACACTGGCCACGGGGCCAAAATCACACTTCAAACCAGGCCTCTACAGAAAAGTCATGCCTGATCTTGAACTCCTAATTCTTGATTACAATGCTTCCCCTGCCCTCCCTTCTGCTGCTAATGCCCCGAAATGAATCTAATCGTTCAGAAACAAAGCGGTTGCTCTTTGGGGGTTTCTGGGATCATAGGGCTGCTGGACTTTGCCTCATGTCAATTATGGGTCCTTGCCTCTTTACAGAGAGAGACTTCCGGAGATGGCTGACATTAGCTACATGAGTGTACCTCGGCATTGTGGAGGCAGCCATACCCTCACCCATCCATTCAGACGCTCTGTGAAACTGCAACAGTTCAGTCAGAGTATGCCCTCTGTCCCGTCAGATGAAAGCACCATGCTGGCAATGATGAAGGTAAGGAGGAGCCAGGTGGAGAGAGAGGATGAACACTGGCACGGACCTAGAGCTGGACAACTGCATTTGAAGCTTAAAATGGCACTGCCTTTAACTGTTTCACATGATCTGCCCTCCAAAAGGGCAAGGAACTCTTACCTAAAGAGGAGATGTAAATACGGGTAGTCCTCGACTTACAACCCACAACTGAGCCCAACATTTATGTTGCTAAGTACTAAGGTTGTTAAGTGAATCTGGCTTCCCCATTGACTTTGCTTGTCAAAAGGTCATATGACCCCGGGACACTGCAACTGACGTAAATATGAGTCAGTTGCCAAGTGTTTGAATGCTGATCATGTGACCATGGTGATGCTACAACGGTCGTAAAAAACGGTTACAAGTCACTTTTTTCTACCCGTTCTGTTTAACTTTGAGCAGTTGCTAAACAAACTGTTGTAAGTTGAGGGCTACCTATAGTACAGGTTTAACATTTTGTCATTTAGTGCCTGAGAGGTTTTCCTTCCTGAGGTGTTTGCTACCTGTTTGTGGTTATTTATTAGCCATATAGTTTTGATAACACCTGGAGAAGAGTCTGGTATTGATCTGGTGGCCTTCCAGATGTTGCTGAAGTACAATTCCTAGCAACCTTATACTGACTGGCCAAGAGAGACAGATGTTGAGAGTTGTAATTAAGCAATGCAGAGAAGGTAGTAGGCTTCACAGCCCTTGCCTAGTGTAAGAAAAAGCACAGCAGGGTTAAACCACAGGTGTTCTTTGTCCATTGTTTATGTTCTTACAGTGCCTCAGGGTGAGGCTCTATAAATCTTATCTTTATTAAGCATGGAATTTGCCTCATTTGTAGCAATTGAGGCCTGGTTCCACCAGCACCTCCCCCAAGACCCCATTCCTATTTAGATACAGACTGGATCAACTACAGTAGAGTATATGGGATATTGTGAACTGCACTCCATTATGTATAGGTGTCATTTTCATGCCCAAGGTTACCCTTTCTGTTTTAACCAATGGTTGTATATGGAGACCTAGTCATACTTACGCTAGGCCCATTAAAAGCAACATAGTTTACCTAGTTGGTATTAATGCCTCTGCTTTAAAAATGACAGTTTGTGTCTTCCTAAAGGTTCCTAAATTGGGCAGTTGTATGCTGTAATGGAAGAAGAAATACAAAGAAATCTCTTGTTCAGTCCTTCCTTGTGATTGGAGACATGTTCTTTTCCTTGAGAATTGGGGACCCACTAGCAGATGCTTTGCTAAAAAGTTTTACTAGCTTCTTTTGGAAAAATAAGTCTATTTCACGAGCTTATTTCAAGATTCGTCAGCTTTTCTTTTGTGTCTATGTTAGTGGGAGATAGGAAGGGGCAGAACAGGGTAGAAAAACCAAAAGTGAACAATCCCAGCCTTCAACCCTGAAAGTAGAAGAGCACATGAATAGGAAATTTCCAAGGCTTCATATTTGGGCAGCACTGAGAAATGCAATCCAGTGCCAGCCAACCGTTTGGTCAGACAAGCTTGTCAGTCTTTCACAACAATCTCTCGCCTTATTTAAGCACTTGGAGAAGAAAGAGTATAATGCCTTTCTGAATAACAGCGATAACAACATCACTGGTTTTTTTTAGAGTCTCCCCTTTCACGCTCTTAACTTCAAGGTCGCTGGCTTGGTATTGTCTTTTGAGATAATGGATATACTTTACTACCTGTCTCTGAGATTTCTATAATATAAAAGCAACTGAAGAACAAAAGTCTTTTTAGCCACAGGTTCCTCTGTAATTTCTTTTTATTCTCCTCCGTTAGCAGAGATATGATAACACAACTTGGCCATCTTTGCTAGAGTCATTCATGCTAATACAATTCCATTGTTCTGACTCCAATAATGCTAGATGCAGCTGAAAACCTTCCCATCTGGTACAACACAGGCACATGTACACACACACACACATATGAAGTATGACTACAAATCCTATAGCCATTCCCCCCATGATTGTGTCAGCTAAAGATGAAGGGAAATGTAATTTAAGAATTCTAAGGGAGGTTGCAGATTGGAAAAAGCTAAACTGAATCTCCTGGGTGGTTTCCTGATTATAGCCCCTCACTTTTGTGTGTATGATCCCGTGCAGCATGCACTACCTATCCCACTTACCTTACATGCCAGGCAGCATTCCACTGTGAGGCATTAGCTTTTTACTCCCAAGTGAAGTTGGGGAAAGTTAAGTCAGCGGTTGTCAGGGGAGGACTCTATTGGGTGAGAAAGGATGGAAAGAAAGGAAACAAGGCAATTTAGGATTGTGAAGATTTTATTTATTTATTTTATTTTTTTTATTTTTATTTATTTGATTTGCCAATTGTTTACAAGATAATAAGTATAAATGTATACATAGTTGTGAATACATGAAATGGGTACATATAAGAAAAATAAAAGAATAAGAGAAACAATAGGACAGGGACGGTAGGCACGTTGGTGCGCTTATGCACGCCCCCTACAGGCCTCTTAGGAAAGGGGTGAGGTCAATAGTAGACAGTCTAAGGTTAAAGTTTTTGGGGTTTGGGGAAGAAACTACAGAGTCGGGTAGAGTATTCCAGACATTGACCACTCTATTGCTGAAGTCGTATTTCCTGCAATCAAGTTTGGTGCGGTTTACTTTGAGTTTGTATCTATTGTGTGCTCTTGTGTTGTTATGGTTGAAGCTGAAGTATTCATTGACAGGTAGGACATTGCAATGTATGATTTTATATACCATGCTTAAGTCAGACCGAAGACGGCGTAATTCAAGGTTTTCAAGTTCAAGAATTTCAAGTCTGGTGGCATAAGGTATTCTACAACGAGTAGAGGAGTGGAGAACTCTTCTTGTGAAATATTTCTGGACTTTCTCAATTGTGCTAATATCAGATACGTAGTGTGGGTTCCAGACTGATGAACTGTATTCGAGTATTGGTCTAGCAAATGTTTTGTACGCTCTGGTTAGTAGTGTGATATTACCAGAGAAAAAGCTACGTAGGATTAGGTTAACAACTCTTAATGCCTTTTTGGCTATGTAGTTGCAGTGGGCTCTAGCACTTAGATCATTAGAGGTGAGTATTCCAAGGTCCTTTACAGAGCTTGAGTCATCAACAAGATCTTGACTATTCAGCTTGTATTTTATTTTCTGATTTTTTTTGCCAATATGTAAGACAGAGCATTTATTTGTTGAGATTTGAAGTTGCCATTTGTTTGACCACTCTGATACATAGTCAAGATCTTTTTGTAGGGTAGCAGTATTGTCTGTGGTATTGAACAGCTTTACATCATCAGCGAAGAGAACGCAATTGCTCTTAATATGATCACAGAGGTCGTTTATGTAGAGTATGAAGAGAGTTGGTCCTAGAACACTGCCTTGGGGAACACCACTATTGACAGGTACTGGATTTGATAGTACGCTCCCGATTTTGACCATTTGTTGTCTGTTTGACAGGAATGCTTCTATCCAGTTATTCAGTTGTCCAGAGATACCATAGGATTTTATTTTTAGGAGTAGTTTGTCGTGTACCACTGAATCAAAGGCTTTACAGAAGTCTATGTAGATTGCGTCTATTGCTTTGCCCTGGTCGAGTTGTGTCGTCCATATGTTTTTGCAGTGTAAGAGTTGCAGATTACAGGATAGTTTTTTTCTGAAACCAAATTGTTTATTGGAGAGTAGGTTATTTGTCTCTAAGTGAAGGATGATGGATTGGTTAATAATTGATTCCATGACTTTACAGGTGACGCAGCATAAGGAGATTGGCCTGTAATTTTCAACTAGGCTTGGGTCTCCCTTTTTGAAGATGGGGATGACTGTGGCTTGTGACCATAGGTTAGGCAAGGAGCTGGTTCTGAAAGATTTTTCAAAGATTATGCTTAGAGGTTTGGCTATGGCAGTGGATAGCTTTCTTAAGAAGTAGGCACATATTCCATCCGGTCCAATAGATAGAGATGGTTTTAGATTGCGTAGTGCTTTTTCAACATTGTCTTCTGTGAAATCGATATGTATTAGATCATTGTTGTTATCTGTGGTACGGCTAGGAAATACTGGGCATGATCCATTGCTGTTTACAAATACTGAGCCGAAGAATGTGTTAAAGATGTTGGCTTTAATGGTGTCGTCGTTGCAGTCTTTACCATCAGGTCCTATCAAGGGAGGGATGGACCTTGAGTCTTTTAGTTTGTTGTTTACAAAATTGTAAAAAGCACGGGTGGAATTGGTGCTTAGAAGGTTTTCCTCTTGTTTAATGTGATAATTGGTGCATTCGGTCTTTATCTGGTGGCATAAATTTTTGTATCGGTTTTTGAAATTGGCAACGTGACCAGATTTGTTTTTCCGCCAGAGTGATCTCTTTTTGGATTGAAGTTTCCTTATTGATATGGGTAATCTGCTTTTTTGTTTTGTTTTGGGAGTTGTTGTTGGTACATATAGTTTGATGACTCTTTTGACTTCAAGTAAAAATATGTTGTAATGGTCTTCAACAGTATTGCATCCAGTGAATAGAGATTGCCAATCAAGGGATGAGAGATCGTTGTGTATAAGATCATAGTTGCCTTTTTTGAAGTTACAATTGGGAATTACATCATTGTGGTGATTTTTGTGTGGACGTATGTTGAGACAAAAGTCAATCATATTGTGGTCACTACTGGAAAAGGGTTCTTTAGTTTGTATTCCGTAAATTAAATTCAAACTATTGCAGAAGATGAGATCGAGGCAGTTGTTTAGTCTAGTGTTGTTGGTTACTAGTTGTTCCAGTCCCAGATTTGTAATAGCATTGTAGAAGGTTGTGTGTATGATTTCAGTTGTACATTCATTTAGGGACCAGTCAATATGAGGTAGATTGAAATCACCAAGAAAGATAAAAGGGTATGGGCAGGATGCAGCCCATGTTAGTAATGTATTTAGCTTGTTTACATGTTCGATGTCATAATCAGGTGCTCTGTAACATAGTAAGAATCGAATTGTGATATTTAAGGATAGTTCACAGATGATGGTCTCAGGAAGAGCAAGCTCCTGGGTAACTTGGATATTTTTTAGATGTAAGGATTTTTTATAGAAGATAGCAACACCACCTCCTCGACGATTTTCACGATCTGATCGGTAAACATGATAGTCTCTTACTGTGGTAATGGAGTCGGGGAGAGATGCATTGAGCCATGTTTCACAGACAAATATAATGTCAAAGTTAGCCATATTTAGGAGGATGAGAAATTCAGGTATTTTATTCACGAGGCTTCTTGCATTGAGTAGTTTGCATTTAAGGCCGGCAGTAGTTGGAATTGAGGTAGTTGGGGGCGTGCGTGCCTAGTCTTGGGTGATGGTGGATCGGTTGAGGTAGGGTTGTGGTTGAGGGTAAAAGCTGAGTATTGGGTTGCGTGGCTTACTTTTGATACAGTCAGCATGGTAGTCAATGTACAGGTCCTTCTCTCCATTGTCTAGACGGTTTTTGAGTTCAATGCGGAGTACACGGGAGCGGGCACGTTGCTGTATGGTTAGGTCAGGGCGGCAACGGAGGTTCTTATGGTTGGTGTTGGTTTTGGCGAGTGAGTTTATAGTATAAATGAATTTACGTTTGCTTGTTTCATTTTTGCAAATGACTCTGCACAGGCGTGGGGCTACAGAGCCGTCACTGTTATTGAGCTCTCGGCCAATGCGTGAAATGTCAAGTATTTCATCAGCGGAGATGGTTGATGCTTGATAATCCCTGATGATGTTTCGGACAGTTGTGATGTCATCATTGTTATTGGTGACCTCTAGACCAAATAAGATGGCGTTTGGACGTTTCCGTTCACGCTCAACAGCTTCTCTGATGAGGATTGGGATATCAATATTTGTCTGGGTTGTGTTTATTTGTGGATTGGGTTTTGGATTGGGTTGTGGTTGTTGGGTAGAGATGTGGTTTGTAGCTATTGGAAGTTCAGGTTTTTGCGTTGTTTCTTTTTTTTTAAGGTTGGATATTCTTTCTTTTACGGCGTCCAGGGATGCTACTATGGTTTCAATGGTATCAATTCTTTCCAACAGATCCAGTTTGGGTTTGCATGAATTGCAGTAATATGGAAACTCATTGGATGATTCCAGGTATTGAATAAATTGCTCGGTTAATCCCAAGCAGTCATGATGAGTGTATTTCTTACACAGAGAACATTTGATGGAGTTTTCATTATCCTTTAGATTTTTGTAGCATTTAAGGCATGTGCAGGAGTCTTGTGGATCATTGGTGGGGATTATGTTCTCTGTAGGTAGTGCTTTGGCATAGGATTTTTTTCTTGTCATGGTAGGTTTGTTAAGATGGTACGTTGATTAAATTAATTAATGGAACAATATCACACCAATCAATCATCAATTGCAGTAATCTCTCTAGTCAGATAATATTTCTGGGCAACAATCAGCCTAATCAATTAAATATTCTAAACACTAATCAATTAATTACACTAATCATTAATCACACTGTTCATTTAAATTCACTAAATCATTGATTTTACTATTCAATTAAAATTACATGCATATTGATCTTTTCAACTAGTCAGTAATAACACTATTTGCACTAAACACTCTAGTCACACTAATCAATTAGGACCATAAATCAATTGAACCATTAATAAAATATTTTATAGAAATTGATTATCTAACCGTAGATATAGGTGATGATGTAGAAAAGTTGTAAGTTTTGAGGTATTGAGTTAATCAGTGTTTGATTAAAGTAATGAGATAGTATTAAGAGTCTGCAAGGAAAGGGTTAATGCTGTTGTTGACTGAGAGGAAATTGTTGCTCTTTGTAATAGTAGATTGCTATTACTCTGTAAACAAGACTGTAATACGATGCTCAAAGGGTTTTTGAAACAGTGAAAAACTTTCCTAAGCTGTTCAAGTTGAGTAGTAGGAGAAAATACAGTCACGTGGCTTGGGTTTACTTATCCGATTTGTCATTTACTTCCAACTAAATCTGGTAGTAATGCCAGAGTTAATCGCAGCTATTTTCCTTCTTAGAGTTCGACTTTCCAAGGAAAATTCCACTGCAGAAATTGGAGTGAAAATCTCCAATTTCTGATGGAATTGCAATAAGATTCTGATGGAATTCCAATAAGATGGAAATCTCCACAGCAACACTTGGGGCAAAGTGATTGTTCCTGCAATTGGAACTGTAGTATCTCCTTTGGAGAAAGTTCTGAAGTTGATCGGTTTGGCAGAAGCCTCCAGTGATGTCAGGGACATTCCAAAATTGTGACTGGCACATCCTTTGTATGTGGAAGGAGCTAATCACTCAATAAGACCCTCGGGTTCTCGGGTTAATAAGAGAACAGAGGATAGAGCTTGCTTAACTATGCTCAGAAACAAAATTGGACCACAGTGAATTGAAATCTTCAATAAGTTCAATTAATTTCCAAGCTACATTTTTTTGAGTTCCATGTTTGTTCCTGCCCTGCTCCCACACAAGTAGGCTCCCCAATGGTAGCATGTATCTTTTTACTGCAAGGGACAGAAATCCCCACTTGTTTCTGTATAGTTCAATACAATTGGATTTCTGAATAGCAATTGACAGACCTGACATGCCTTTTCTAATTTTCCAGAACTGGAAATGAGGCATTGTGCAGCAGATGGAAGGCAGCAATGATTAGGGACAAGACATGTGTAACTGCCTGTGAATTGTTTTAAAGGAAAAAATCCAATTTCTAAGTTCCAATGGTCTATCCAGTCACCAGAATGTGGTTTTCAAGCTCATTCTTCAGCTTTACAAGTAAAAACCCTTGTAAAAAGTGGTTAACCTTTAGCAAGGTTCAGCTGAAATTTCTTCTGTGTTTGCATTTACTTCCAGCATGAAGAAGTAGATATACTGGGTCTTGATGGTCATATTTACAAAGGACGTATGGACACACATCTTCCATCAATAACTGGAAAGGAATGTGAGTTTTGTATTCTGTTTGCAGGTGCTCTGAGTAAACCTAGTCATTCTTTCTTTTTATCCCAGGCATTTTGAAGTATTTTGGCACTGTACCTTCCTGTCAAGTAACTGTCAATAGCAGTATCCTCCAACTTTGAGCCTTTTGGTTCCAAAACGTTGCAGACAGCATGACCTTAAGTGAGAAATTACGGAAGTTGTATTTAAATTAGGTGGGATCCTGATGGAAGAACACCAACCTATAGAACAGTCTTCAAACTTGACAGTTTTAAGACTTGTGGACTTCAACTCCCAGAATTCCTGAGCTAACATGACTGGAGGAGGAATTCTGGGAGTTGAAGTCCACAAGTCTTAAACTTGCCAAATTTGAAGACCCTTGCTATAGAACAAACAGATCTCTGTGTTTGTTCTGGTGGGGAATTGACCCTGAGAAATATACAGCAATTTCACAGGTGGGCATATTTGACTTCTTGGTGTTGCTTGTGGGACTTTACCTTCATCTGTGTCCAAATCACTGATGCCTCCCCTTACACTTCTCTCATCAGATGTCCCAAGAACAAGAAGCAAGCTCGCTCGGTCTTCCTCACAAAGGCAGCACCCAATGTTCAGTGACCTGGCCAACCTCCCCGCTCGCCCCCACACTGCAAAAGTGTCTGTGGGCAGCACATCAGGTATGTTACAATCCTGAATCAAGCTTGATTAGAAATAAAAATGATGCCTGAAGCCCACCCAGAATTGCTTAGAGAGTGTTTCCTTCAACTGTATGAAATAATTGCTGAGGAAAGCAGAGCAGTGATGATGCTCAAATGAAGTTTCTGAGTGATGGTCTGTATTCGGTTTTATCACCGTAGGATGGGCACTGTGCAGATAACACTTGCTGAGGACTCCAAATAACCTGTTGCTTACTTGACAGAACCATACTTCACAAGATTTCCTTGAGAAAAGCAAAGAACTATTGAATTAGTGACCTTTCATAAAATTAAAAGTTTTGAACAGTGAGGTAATAGCCAGGCAAAAATGGGCATTTGTGAAATCTCCAAATTTGGGGTGACTCAAACCCCAACATTTAATTCAGTCCTCACTTTAAAAAAGTAACTTGTAATGTTTGAAGTACTGAAATCTGGGACTATTTCTTTGTTAAAACCTCACTTAGGCTAGCAATATAATAGCCAGACTGCAACTTTCTCTTTTTCAGCTTTCACTAGTATGTTTATGTTCTTCTATTTCCCATGAGAGATGAGGTTAGTTTCCCAGGAAACTGGCAGATCCTGCTTAAGCATTGAGCCTCTGCCTTTCTGCAGACACCCAGTAACAGGAACCCCTCTTTCTATCTATGATTCGTGTAGGCAGTGGATCTCCAAGGCATGAGAAAGCCTTCAGGACATCATCTCTTTAGTAAAGAGTCCCTTATGGGCCGGACAGAAACAAAGCATAATTTCCCAGCCTTGTCCTGACCTTCCAACTCTGTTGGACTCCAATAACTGCTTTGTCCCAAAGCTTCAAAACAGAAAATAATAGGAGCTGTAATCCAGAACTGATATCATTTTGTGGAAGGCTGCTGTTTTCAAAAATGTTTTTAAAAGTAGGAATAAAACCGGTAGTTAAGAACTGATATGCAGATCCACGCCTGGTAGGCTTTTTATTGTTTTTGTGAGAAAACTCTTCCGAGCTGAGTGATGTCCATGTGATCACATCGCTCCATGATCACAATCCCAGCTTGCCCAGTTGTAGTCATTAATCAGACAAAGAGAAAGAGCTGTCTGCCCAAGTGGGCAGGCAGTTCTCCATATCTGGAAAGGACCTCCTGTGGTAGATCCAAGCCTTGGTTCTGCAGCCCGTCACAGATGTCCCCTTCCCCTCATGCACAGAAGGGAACTCATGCACCAGGCTAGAGAAAGCAAGTGGAGATATTTCCAATTCCCATTTTGTTTCTCCACCCCACTACACTGGTTCTCTTTCCTCCATGCGCAGAAGGGAACTAGTGCACTGGGCTAGAGAAACGAACTGGGGATTGCAAAGAATGCTGCTTTGTTTCTTCAGCCCAACACATGAGTTAGTGTCCCCTTCTTGTGCAAAAGGGAATTCTTGTGTGGGGCTGGAGAAATTAAGTGGGCATCTTCATAATCTTTAGCTTATATCCTTTCTCCTCTGCGCATAGAAGGGAACTGCTATGCTGGGCTGGGGAAACAAAGTGGGGGTCACAAATTTCCAAGCTTTGTTTCTGTAGCCCTATGAAGGATTTTTGCCCTCTCCTTGTGAATGAAAGGGAGGGGAAATTCTTTGGCAGGTGGTATCAGCTGGCAAAATTTCCTGCCAGCTTCCCCATTGACTTTCTGGGGAAGCCGGCAGAGAAGACTGAAAATAGCAATCACATAATTGTGAGGCACTTGGCAACCTGTCATAAATGCAAACAGGCTGACAAGCACCCAGATCAGAATCATATGACTGCAGGCGTGTGTGTGTGTGTGTGTGTGTGTGTGATCTGCTTTACGGAGGGTAAAGTGCCCTTTCTGAGTCATCATGACTTCAAACAGTAATCAAATGACAGTTTTAAATTGAAGACTCCTTGTAATGGTTGCTCCTATATTTGGTTTGATGAATTGTATTGTAAATAGCCCATTATATACTTCCAGAAACACAGGTAGTCCTCAATCTATGACCACAATCGGGACCAGAATTTCAATTTCTAAACAAGGCCATTTTTAAGTGATCTGTGCCCAATTTTATGGCCTTTTTTGCCACGGTTATTAAGTAAATTGTTAAAGTCATTCAATGAATCGTGTGGTTGTTAAGCGAACCCAGCTTTCTCCATGGTTATGGCTGTTAGAAGCTGACTGGGAAGGACCCAGAGATGCTACAACCATCATAAAAATATGCCAGTTGCCAAGTGCACAAAATTTTGATCAGGTGTCCGCATGGATGTTGCGATGGTTGTAAGTGCAAGGATTGGTCGTAAGTAACTTTTTTCAGTTGCACTGTAACTTGGAATGGTTGCTAAACAAATGTCTGTAAGTCAAGGACTACCTATACAGCATACAGATTCCCACCAGTGAGAATCACATGGTCAAAGATATTGGCAGAATGATAAGCATGCTTCGTGTTTCATTTAGCTGGCAATCAGCCTTCCTTCTTACCCTATTTTAGTCCAAGTTAAATCTGAACTTTACCTTTTACCAGGTACACACTATAGTGAAGTACACACTAAGTTGAGCCCCAAATTTCTGTTGTTAAGTGAGAATTTGTTAAAGGAGTTTTGCCCCATTTTACGACCTTTCTTGCCATGGTTGTTAAGTGAAATGCTGAAGTTGTTAATTTAGCAACCTGATTTGTTAAGTGAATCTGGCTTTCCCCATGGACTCTGCTTGTCAGGAGGTCGGAAAAAGTGATCACATGACCCCGGGACACTGCAACCGTCATAAATATGAGCCATTTGCCAAGCCTCTGAATTTGGATCCCATGATCATGGGGATGCTGCAAAAGTTGCAACGGTGAAAAACGGTCACATGTCAATTTATTCAGTGCCTTGTAACTTTGATCGGTCACTAAATGAGCTGTTGTAAGCCAAGGATTACATGTATGTTAAACCTGTCTTTCAAACCAAAATAGATGGTCAATCGCCGATCATCAGAGGAATTAGAGACAGGCAAGTTTCAAGTGTGGTAGAGTAGTTAAAATGGCTTGTAAGCAGAATGACATCATAGCAGATCTGGGATCCCAGGAAATTTTCTTTGTCAGTTCAGGGCTTCTTTTCACCCTGTTTGGTTCCCCTGACTAGCAGAACCTTTCAGGATTTCAGACAGGGGGCTCTGCCAGGTTTAACTAGAGACGCCAAACTGAAGTCTCTTCTTTCATCATTTAAGGGCAGGGACCGGGAAAATGTCAAATTAAGGTGGTTTTGTGCATAGAAATCAGGGGAAGGGAAGAGGTTTTCACAGGGAAAATGGACTCTGCTGATTGGCTCAACCATTTTTTATAAGACTAACAGTAAAATTGGATGTGGCTGTTTTTGTGTGTTTCAGCTAAATCAATAACAGACAAGTCTGCGTCTCCGTTAAGGAACTCGGAAGAGTCTGGAAATTTGGAGAGAGAAACTTTTGAGGTTCGAATGACCGTTTCCTCAAGACAACGGTCTGATGAGCAGTCTACTTAAGCCAAGAGGATCTAGTTTTAGAATCGCGGAGAATAAAGAGTGTTTTAAAGGAGAAGGGTGCAGATCTTCTGCTGCTGTGGAGCCATGGCCCTCTGGCTATGCCCATAGTGTCTAGTCTCTGCTCTTTCCTATAGTGGTGTTCCTGGAGGAATCTGCTAGTGGGTGGAGCAGGGGTAGGTGTGTACAAGGTGGTGGAGTGGAGTGGGGTTTTCTTCTGCATTGTTCCACTGAGTCTACAGGTCATTCATTTTTTCACGAGAAGTTCAATTTCAGTACAAAATCCTCTATATAAACTGACTAAAAATAGTTGATTTTAAGTATCTGCTAGTCCCCGTTTTCTATTTGTTGATTTGTGTCCACAGTGAGATATAAAAATAGCCATGTAAAAGAAAGCCACCTTATAGTCTGAGAAATTTCTCTCTGCTGTGTGAAGAGAGAGAGAGAGAGATTGGATCTATCATCTCTCTTTATCTATCTCTATCCCAGAAGTGGGCTACCTTCTGACCTTTCACAGGTGGCATAATATCAGTATGTAAAATATGTGCATATTTACAGATTTTTGCATCCATTGATGATTTTCTGGAAAGCTCAGAAATTGTTGAGACTCTTCTTCTTAGTGCAGAAATCACAGCAAGTCAGGCTCTAACTCCTGGACTGAGCAATCTTGCAGTCAGTATATTATGCAGAAACAGTCACTTCTAGAGAATCGGTAGCAGCTGTTAACAGCAATAAATCAGTATGGAGAGGCAGGGTGAGGAGTTTATAAACTTGTTCACACGTGTGCTGCACTGAGATTTTAGGGTTGGTGGTGGGTAAGATGGGCTTTGTGTATTGTTAATGAATGTGCAGATCCGTACATATGAATGAATATACACATGTACAAGCGCATACCTAACGCCACCAAATTATTTTCTGATGCTGCTTCAGCCTTGCCTTATTAATAACAAGTTTAATTTGGCAAACTCTTTTACCCTGCTACTCATGAAGATCAGTAGAATTCCTAACTTTCATCTAATTCCAAATCTGAGGTGTATTTTGCTTCAGTGCAAGGCAGAGGATAATTGCTTGTCATCAGTTGCTTATATTTAAAGCAAAAAAACCCCATTATTTTCCACTGAAAAACGCAAAAATAGCCAAGCACTTAAAAATATCCGCCCTGGCTCTGAATCCCATTGAATTAGTGTGCCGCATTACATGCAGGATGAAACAATGACAGGTCCTTGATTGGTTGGTAATCTGCATCACCTTTAAAAGTATTTAATGTGCCGGTTGGTTAGCTGTAGTTGACACTTTAGCAGTCAAAATTTAGTAGCAGAGTGAACCCAAGAAAAATATTTCTAGACTTCACAAGACAAACAATTATTCCCTTGATCTCAAGCATACATTTGAAGTAATCACACTGTTTCAGTTGGGCAAGCAACTAATTCCGCTTCTCTGTGGCCAACAGATTTAGTTCCCTAGTGAATCTTAAATCACCGCTTTAGAATTTAGAAAGCTTTCCAAACCAAACAAGACTTTGGTGGAAAAGAACATTTGGTTTCCCAGTATGGCTGTGGATCTTTCAGTGCCTAGTTACATAATACAAAATTCAGCCAGACTACACAAATATCACTGTCTCTCATTCTGCAACAGAAAGACTTCATTGCGTTTTTTAAAAAAACATGCAGAGGAGCTATTGTATTGTTCCTGAGCTTGAGAACCTCAGCCAAATGGTTTGTAGGGATGAGAATGAGCACTTTCTTTCAAGAATTCCATCATGTAATGTAGGTGGCTGCTCTGCTTTTCACTGATAGCATGCAAAGGCTAGCGGTATCAGACTGGACCAGGGCTTAGGGACTACCAGTGGAGCTTCTCTGCCAACACTGCTACCATCTTGGCAGAATGCCAGGGGCAGAAGTAGTCATTCTCTTAGACCCAAGGAAGGCTTCTTAGATGGACCCCCTTTGAGTATTAGTCATCAAAAAGCCAACGGCTACATTGGAGGAAGCAGACTTCTGCTTGTGCAAGCTTGCACCGTCATCAGATAAACAACAACTAGGATGCTTCCTTAATATAGAGGCTACCAGATTTGGACTGCAAGAATCTGGGTCATTAGAGAGCCACAAAGCATTTGTGTGTCTCTGCTGCATTCTACCACTTGCCTTGGTCAGTACAAGCTACAGTACATTTGCAGCCTACTTCCAGCTGCCATTCTGTCATCACCCACTAGGCCCGAGTTCCCCTGTGGGTGGCAAGCTGAGTCTGCAGAAGACTACCAGCAGATTTTTTGTTATTTTAAATTGAAGTAGTGTTGAATTTAAATTGACCCTCTGCCCCGAGAATCTCTAGGTGGCTGCTGCTCCTGTTGTGTTGGCATTTGTGGCCCTGCAAAATGCTCAGTTAAAACTTGTGTAGTAGAGTCCAGCCTTTGTTTCAATGACACACAGTCAACAAGAGTTCCTCCTACCTACTTTTTTCAGGGATTTTTCTGAATTTCTAAGGTTGCTGTCAATTTTGTGGAAGCTAACATGCCTCCCCTTCATTGTCTGCTCTAGAGAAAGCAAAGGTTTTTTTATGGAGAATATTTTATTTGGGGAGCGCCATTGCGCCATCCCCACAGTCACAGCACTTGGCGACTGGTTCAGATTTATGACCAGTTTATTTATTCATTGAATTTATATTGCCACCTATTCACCCATGACAACTCAAGGTGGTTTATAGAATATTAAGCCACATTTTAAACAATAAAACCAACCAAAAACAATCAAATACATCAATATAATACAATGTAAAATCACATACACACTGCCCTGGCGACAGCAGATCACACGAGCTGGGAGAGTACTGTGCCCTGCGGAACCCTGCAAAGCAGTAGGCTAGGGCTAGATCTCTCCCCCACTATCAACACTGACTAAGAGCGGCTGCAGAGGAAGGAAGTGAACCAGGATAGCACAAGGCCTCCCACTGCCATCCCCCCAAAGCCACCCCAGGAGTATACCATGATCGATGGCATCAAAAGCTGCCGAGAGGTCAAGTAGAGCAAGGATGGATGCGCTACCTGCTCCCGCCAGAGATCATCCAAAAGTGTGCCCAATGCATTTCTGTCCCAAATCCAAGCCTAAATTCTGACTGGTAGGGATCAAGATAATCTGTTTCATCCAGATTGGAGACAGGTTGGAAATTGAAAAAATTACTTCTTAAAAAGAGGGCAGACCACAGCCTTCTTAAAGTGCTGGGGCACTGCCCCCTTCTGTAGGGAAGCATTTAATCACTGCCAATCCACCCGCCTGTCCCCTCCTGGGAAGCTTTCACAAGTCAGGAGGGACATGGGTCTAAAACACAGGTGCTTGCATGCATACTCCCTAGGATCCTGTCTACTTCCTCCATCAAGATAACAGATTCCCAGATAACAGGGCAAGAACCTACCTCGGGCTTCCACTGGACCAGCAACCATGCCAGAATCAACTGGGAACAAAGTCGAGCGATTTTTGCCTTCCAGAAAATCTGCAAATTCCTCAGAGCGCCCCTTCAGGTAGACCTCAATCTCCTTCCCCGAGAGGAGGAGGCTCACCTTAAGGAGGGTCTCTGGGCGATTATCTGCAGATGCAATTAGTGCGGAGAAGTATTTACGCTTCACCGCACAAATCGCCATGTGATAGGCCTTAGTAGCAGCTCTTACCCATGTTCGATCAAGTTCATCCCTTGCCTTCCGCCAGCGGTGCTCTAGATATCTCCTCATGCATTTCATTCCTCTCAGTTCCTCTGTATACCACGGGGCACAGAGAAGTCTACGGGTGAGGAGAGGTCGCATGGGTGAATCCTATCCAAAGCCTCAGTCACCTTCCTATTCCAAACTAAGAGCTCGGCTGGACTGCACAGTAGATCTGCAGTTATAACCCCCAGCTCCTTCTGGAACCTATCTGGCCCATTATTCGATGGGCGCAGGCCAATCTAATAGGTCCTGCCTCCCTGTGGGGGGGGGGTACAGCTCTTGAGAAACTCAATGCCACCAGACTGTGATCTGACCATGACAAGGGGACCAAGGACAGGCCCACCAATTCCAGATCACATAGGCAGTGCTCCGACAAGAACACCAAATAGGGTGTATTACTAGTCAGGCCCTGGATGACCTGGGACAGGCCCATGGAAGTCATGGTTTCCATGAAATCTCGGGCTACCTCCGCCCCCAGGGACAGCAGGTTGAAATCCCACAGAACTATACGCCTGGGGAATTCCACCACCAGCCCCGTGGCGAGTTGCAGCTCCTGTGATCACATACCACAATATTTGATCTTTCCAGCTGGTTTCTAACAAAAAAAAACACCAGATGGGGAAGCTGGATTTGCTTAAACATCCATGTGATTCACTTAACAGCCATGTTGATTCATTTAACAGTGAATCCAGTAATGACTCACTTTTCAACTGCATTAATGTAATGCCACTAGTGGATGTGTGCATAATTATTAATTAGTATTCTCATTTCATTTATCCTACTATGCTTTGCATAATATTGGAAGCCTTGAGGAATTTATAATAAATCACAATTTCATTCTGACTCCTCATTCCCCATCAAAATCTATGTATGCCAGTCCTCAAACAACAACATAATTCTGAAAATTATGAGGGTGGGGGGAAGTTGGCTTGGTTTTACCTCTGTGATGGAATGGGTTCTAGAGATTGATATTTGTAGGTTAATACAACAAAGAAAAAAATAATGTCAGAAGATAATATTAGGCATATTAGTGGTTAACTTAAAAGCTTTATAAGCACGGGCAAATTTAGAAGACTCAACAGCCAGTTGCTGAACATACAAGAACCTGGCCAAGGAAAAAAGGGGACACCTTTTAAACAGAGATCATTATTCTCCTCCCACCTGCTTGTGGGGGGTAAACATTTAAGATCTTTTCAAATAATGTGGTCAACCTCTAATTTGAGCAAGATTCATCCATTAAGAATGATAAAACTAGCAGCATCGGAGAGCTTGTATTATGAGTACATCTGAGGTGTTGGAAGAATTCTAGAGTGAAAATGCCACAATTCTGTTAGGAA